GACTCTCTGAGGATTAAAAGTAGTACCATGCATAAAGTGTTTTAAACTATCCAGGAGAAATGTGGTTATCCAAGGCCAAATATTCCAAATTCTCTGTATAGTACAAGAAATAAATAGAAATAAAAGAGCATGAAATCTTGAACCACAGAATTATCCTGAATAGGAAAATATTGAAATAGACATTGTAAATTTCTTGAGCAAATACTTATGTCTTACATCTGACCACAAAAATTCCACTGAGAATTATTAGCCTCTCATTTCTGAGAAAATGAAATTCACAACAGGAAACTATTAAAAAAATAAGCTTCATATTTTACATTACTATGCAATCATACAACAAACACAAATGTCCATTACAGTGGTGCCTATTTTTAACTTGTTTTTACAAGTTAAAACCACTATGTTCACCAACAGAATTGAAATGGTTCCCTGCTTCTGACTACATATATTAAATCTCTTCCAGCTGCAGTAGAAGATCTTAAAGAATAAGCAGCCAGGAGCAGACAAATTGCCAAAACGCATACAACAGTCATAATTACAGCAACACCACTGTTCTGTAAAATTCCAAGAATTCATGTTGGCTAACTGTGATCCACTGTCAATAAAGAAGGGTATTTAACAGGGCAATATAATTTAAGTCTGTGTAAGTAAGCACAGAAAAAAAGTCTTATCCTTTGTTTCTATAGCATGGAAAAGATAAATAAACAAACAAACAAACAAAAAGCTTAGTGCTCCAGGTAGACACAGAGGCAGCATTCTAACTTCTTCAGACAGACATCTATAGTGAGAAAAAGATTTTAAAAACTCACTATTTTTTTTTCCAGTACATAGACATATGGGCACCTTGCAGAATGGGATGTTTCAAAAGCACTGTAGTGACTTGTGGAAATCAAAAGTAGCATGGTTTCTAGACACTGTAAAAGTTTTATCTATGCAATTTCTAATGCAAATACAATGAAAAGAGGAAAGGAAAACATGAGTTATAAACCTATTTATTATTTGCATGCCTTATATGAGTAAAAAGTGTGAAGCTGGTTTTTTGAATGGTTTGAAAATATGAAGCTAGAGTAAAGTGTATGAAAAGTTTTCTAGGTGAAAAGTCTACTAGGTTTCATTTCATGCTCTTCTATTGACATTTTTCAACAATATGCCTAATTTAATTTGGTCATGAAGTATATAACAATAACTTCTATCAAAAACACTTATAAATTAATTAATGAGTGTTTCTACAACATAATAGAGAATTGGAACTCATTAACTTCTTTATTTTTATTTTTTTTAATAAATGTTTTAATCCTACAGAACACTTGGGAGCTAGGCAAATCTTTTTATTTTACTATCTATATCTCAAATTTTTAACAGAGAAACACAGACTTTAACATTTACAAAGTAGAGCACATATTAACCCATAAGCAGCTCTCTATTAAAATCACAGAATCATAGGAAAACATTAGAATGGACTCCAGCTGGTCAGTCCAGACCAACTCCTGCTCAAAACAGAGCTAACACCCAAGTTAGATCAGATTGCAGAGGGCTTTGTTCAGATGTTTGGAGAATTTTATTGCAACATCTTTGGGCAGCCCGTTCTAGCACTCCCATGCTGAAGGACCTGTAATTATGAAACTTCTTCTAGTTGTTCAAAGAAAGCTTGATCCATTTTCTTATCTTGGTGGAGCAGTCAGTAGCAGATTATCCCTACGATGGCGCCCCCTCAAACCCTGACACATAATTCCACAGCAGAACTCCATGCATTTATGCATCTTGCTTTCATCCAGTAGGTTTTAAGTGACATAACCAGTTCCACCTTCTTCACTTCATGCCCTAAACAAAAGAATTTGGGATTTTCTGTCCCAGTCATCTGTCAAACTAGCTTTGTGACTCAGGAGAATGAAAGGTTATTGCAAAAACCATCACTGAGACAATTTTTCTTCACCTTTTTCAAAGTTCCAAACCTAAGTAAACTCACAGCATGCATTTAGTAGTTATAAAAAGAAACCTCTCCACAAATACTTTCAAGTCTTATTTGCAGTAAATCAATGTGACAAATTTTTACATGCTGAAGGGTTAGCAAAGAATAAGAGTCATCCTGCAGGGATATAGAAAGAAAGTAGCAGAAAAGTTGAACTCATTGTATCTGTGTTTGAATAGCAACTTAATATACAAATAGGTTTCTCAACACTTTGTAAATACAGATCCATTTATTGCAGTTGGACCAAAGGAAAAGAGTGTAATGATAAATGATATATATAAGTGATAATCCTAACCAAAACATTGCCTAGAATTTGCATCTCAAAACCCAGCAAGTTTGTTTCTTCAGATGAATTAATTGAATTTTTTATCATATATTTCTCACATCTCAGAGATAATAAAAAGTAATTTTTAGTACTTTGATTAGTAGAAGATTTTTCACTGAGACACAGAAACGGGAGAAGCATTAACTTTTTCTAGCTTTTGGTTTAGTGAAATGGCTTTGCTTGCAAAGTGACTTATATGATTCTGTACAGGAACAAGCATAATATTTTATACATTTATCATAACTGCAATTTGTTCTTGAATAAATCTTTTCTATGCCCTTTGGCTGCTGCTATTGTTTACTTAAGGTTCATAATATGCTGCCCAAGCTGCTGGCACACTGAAAGACGGCACATAAAATGTCTAAAAGTAGTAATTCAGAGCTTCTAAGTGGTTTGGGCAGGTCAATTAGTTTTAAAGTACTGAACAGTACCAAACTTTTGACAATAGTCCCACCTCAATTTCCTCACTGCTCCCTTCCATCTTCTTCTACTTGAGTAAGTGTGGTCACAAACCACTGGAATCAATTATATCCCTCAGGAACATTAACTGAGAGATAAGATATATTTTTGCTCGGTGCCTAGTCCCATGGTGCTTCATTAACCTGATTTCCAAGTACACCAAGCAGAAATTAACTGTTCCACAAGCTGTTCCAAGTTCCTCATGCCCAAAGGTGGCCTGTCCATATTAATCTTTTTAAGAACACCAGAAGACATGTCCATTCTTCATCCTACTTAACACTGACTTGTTTTCAGCATTCATCAATAAGAAGTGGAGGAGTAGCAAATACAGCCACATTATGCACCTTTAGGTACAGGATAGGAAAGCAAAGCAAACTGTGGGGTAGGGTATTATTATAAGCAGGGCTATTGCACAATAGGGCCAGAGTATGTAGAATAGTATAAAGTAGAAGATGGGGCTAACAACACAAACACAGGGTTTTTTTCCTTTACTTTCTGTCTGGTCATTTTTTTCTCATAAATTTTCAAAACACACTGCTGCTGTGTCATTAGTGTATTGCTCTTTGAAACCAACACTTCTGCTTTCCACAGGACCTATCTAGTGTTCTTGTACCAAGATTTCCTAGTGCAATAGGCTCTGCAAATGAGGCCAGACAAAGTTCAATGTCTGGAATCCATCCTAGATTCAGCTTTTATCTGCATCAGCACATAGCCTGGCTCAATAGGAGCAGTCCTGTAGAGTGTGTAGTCCTTGCATCTGCTGTTGAGAACAGGTTGCCTGCACTATACGTGGTCATGAGCACAACACAACTACAGCTGTCACCTGAGCAAAGGTCCTGAGGATGAAAATTCATACAGAGCCTGTGAAGCCACCTCTGCCAGCAAAGTTCCTCTCTGTTCATGGCCCTAAAGGTGCAGTCTTATCCCAAATGTGATAACTGAACTGAATGGGGAGATTTTCCAAAACCATACAGAAGAGATTTTAAGAGGTGGAAAAAAAGAGTATAGCAAAGTCAAGTGTGTATAAACTTTCAGGCTTGTCCTCAAACTGGTAACTGAGTGCACACACTCTCCTTGGGGCCGTGTCTCTGTAAAATGGAAAGAAACACAGAGCATGAAGATGCATTATAATCAACCGACCTCCACAGGGGCACACATCTGTCTGAAGAGTCTTTATAGTGAGTATGTGTGTTGGATCCTCTAGCACAATATTTCTTAAAATATATGTATTAAAATAATGGCTTTTACTTTTTTTGCCCTTAGGTTTGCCCTGCTGGTGTTGCCCCGTGTGTTGTGTGTAGCCTGTGGAGGATGGCATGGCAAGGCACAGTAAGAAATCCATGGCAAACCAGGTGTGGAAGTCATCTCTCTACCTCGTTGCTGCACTTTGTAGCAAGTCAAAACAACTGTGTGCCCAGGTGGCCAAGAAGGTCGTGGCATCCTGGCCTGTGTCAGAAACAGTGCGGCCACCAGGACTAGGGAAATGATTCTCCCCTTGTACTCGGCACTGGTGAGGCTGTACCTCAAGTCTTGGGTCAGGAAGGACGCTGAGGTGCTGGAGTGGGTCCACAGGAGGACAACAAAGCTGTTGAAGAGTACAGAGTGCAAGTCCCATTAAAAGCAGCTGGAAGAGCTGGGGGTGTTTTGCCTAGAGAAGTGAAGACTCATGAGTGACCTTATCCTCTCTACAACTATCTGAAGGGAGGTTGTACCTAGGTGAGGGGTGACCTCTTCTCCCAGGGAACCAGCGACAGAACAAGAGGACAGAGTCTCCAGCTGTGCTAGGGGAGGTTCAGTTGGACATTAAGAAAAACGTCTTTCATGAAAATGGTGACTAGATATTAGGGAGGAGGTGGAGTCACCATCCCTGAAGGTGTTAAGGAAAGACTGGAGTAGACGTGGTGCTTAGTGGCGTGGTCTACTTGACAAGGTGGTGTTCGGTCATATGTTGGACTTGATGATCTCAGAGGTCTTTTCCAACCTAATTGATTCTGTGAAATACGGGGTGGCAGGATATCCGAGGAGACTGGCAGAGGGGAAAGATGGGCACGCCTGGACCGACCGACAGATCTCTAGCAAGCGGTCAGCCCAGCGCACAAGCAGCAGCTCGGGATGCCGGGAGCGCCTTGTCCCCGGGCGGGGCGGGGAGAGTGGAGCCCTGCGGGGGTGTGTGCGGGGGCCGGGCGGGGGCGGGAGCCCCGGAGGGCACTCCGGGCGGCGAGGCGGGCGCTGCAGGAGCGGAGAGGACGGGCTGGGATGGCAGCGATGTGGACGTCGCTCGGCACCGTCTCGGAGCCGGCCGGCCCCAGGGCAGCCAGCGGCCGCTTCTGGGCCGCCGTCCTGGGAGCAGCGGCGGGGCTCTTCCTCCTCGGGTTCCTCATCGGTACAGTGCAGACCAACCCTCCCCAGCGCTGAGCGCTCTGCCGGCCGCCCCCGGCCCGTCCAGCCGGGGGAGGTGGCTCGGAGATGGGCCGAGGAAGGACCGGGGTGGGGGGAGGAGCGGGAGGGTTTCCAGCGCCCGGGACTTTGTGCCAAGGGTGCCTGATGTGAGTCCGTGCTCAGCCGGCCGACACCATCCTCCCTCTCTGCCTACCTCCCTGCCTCTCTCCGTTCCTCTCTTCAGACGGGGCAGGTGCCGTCACCGACCACCTCTGGTATTTCCAGCTCCGCCGCAGGAGAAGGGTCTTTGACTTGTTTTTCGATTTACTTTTTATTAAAGTAGTTATGCTGTGGCAAGAAAGGAGGCGCTGGGTTTGTGAGAAGCGCACAAAAGACAGACCTCTCGACGCTGCTGCCCTGAAACCGCAGCAACCCCGGCCAGAACAGCAGGAAGATAAACTTGGGGCTGGAGGGGCGCTGACAGTAGGGGAGAAAGAGTCTTTAGTTTGATGTCCCACCTCCTCCTAGTCCCAAGCAGGCAGGCCTGTGGGTTGCTACCGCAAGAGATTTCGTCTCCCTACCTTCCTTTTGGTTTCACAGATGAATTAGGATCAGCTTGAGGGAGGAAGGAAAACAAAAGAGCCACTTGTATTTTGCATTGCCATTTAGTACGTACCTGGGGTTGGTGCCATTGGGAAGCCTGAGTTGACTGAATTGCTCTTTCACGTAGAAAGAGCCTTTCACTGTGCCGATGATCAGTGCCTCCCTAGTACCACCTTGTTACCTACTTGAACACACCAGCTCTCTCATTCACACTACCCATGTAGCTGCTGCTGCTGCATTGGCACTGAACATGTCCAGTCTGACTTAAAAAGAGATGTCAGAAACACTTATCTTCCTGGCCAGGTGTTTCTCTCATCACTTACTCTGGTAGCGCCAGCACAGTAAGGGAAGGATTCCAAAATAAGAGCCAGACAGACCAGAAAGTGAGAAAGGAGTTATGAGACATCTGTTCCTTACAAAGAGTGTTTGTGTTTCTATGCATTTTTGTAAAGCTGCTGCCTTATTACTGAGGTAACTGGTTTTGACTGACAGTATGATGTTCTGGTACTCAAGAAAGATAGGTAAGTCTCCTTAGCATCTACAGGAAAATAATTGTGATGATTAAATATAGTGTAGTATTTTATACCCCTCAATATCTACCCATGGAAATAAGTTCTCTTACTGTTTGTGGAACTGATGCTGCCGTCACTGTGCAGCCTGCATTAGGTTGTGGCTGCTTGTATGTACTGAAATAAAAGCAGCTGCAAAATGCACAGTGAAAATCTTGTGGGGAGATCAAAGAGAAATAGTGTGTGTCATGGGAATATTGCTCTCATGTTTTTACTGTTGTATTTTGGTGTGTTGTACAGGCTGGTTTGTAAAGCCTATAGAAAAGAAGACATCTCTGAGTACTCATGAGGACATGAAGACAGCATTTATGGCTGAAATGAAAGCTGAAAACATCAAGCAATTTCTTCAGTAAGCAGTGTGTAGACTAATCAGTTCAGACAAGAAAAAAAAATCAGGCTGGAACTAGCCCAAGGGTCATAGAATCACAGAATGGGTTGTGCTGAAAGGGACCTTAAAGACCACCTAGTTCCAACCCCCTTGCCATAGGAAGGGACACCTTCCACTAGAGCAGGTTGCTCAAAGCCCTGTCTAACCTGGCCTTTAATACTTCCAGGGTTTGGGAGTCCACAACTTCTGTCGATGACCTCTACCAGTGCCTCACCTCCTTCACAGTAGTGAATTTCTTCCTGATATCAAATCTAAATCTCCCCTCTTTCAGTCTAAAGCTATTCTCCCTTGTTTTATCACTGCATGCCCTTTTAAAATGTCCCTCTCCAGCCCTCCTGTAAGTCCCCTTTAGGTACTGGAAGGTGCTTTAAGGTCTTCCCAGAGCCTCCTCTTCTTCAGGCTGAACAACCCCAACTCTTTTGGCCCATTTCCTCAGGAGAGGTGCTCCAGCCCTCTGTTCATCTTTGTGGCCTCCTCTGGACTTGCTCCAACAGGTCTTCTTATGTTATGGACTTCTTATGTTGGGTCCTCAGAGCTGAGCACAATACTTTAGGTGACAGGTCTCATGAGAGCGCAATGGAGGGACAGGATCTCCTCTCTTGACCTGCCAGTCATGCTTCAAACAATTCAAAACAACGGAATGTGACAATATAGATATTTTTAAATCTAGTTACTGTAGTTTTAAATTGAGTTACTGTAATTAATTTCTCCAGTTTCAGTGACTTGGAAGCTTTAACTGCAATTAAGCTGATGTACTTTTAGGAATCTTGTAAATGGTTTATTTTTCTCATAGGAAACTAGTATTTGTTAAAAGCTTGTATTTATTCCAGTCAGTAATAGACCAGAAGTTATAGTTTCTTGATAGAAAGTCACTTTCTGTGTAAAGAAAGAGCATCAGTTATTGTGCAAGTAATCAATACATTTGGATTTGCCTCAAACTCCCACTCTGATTACATAACATAAAGTTGTACAAAACTAAATTACTAAACCCCCATTTTTTGGTTTCTACAATTGTGGCAATCCCACTGATTTCGTTTGAAGTGCATTTGTCACGAACTATTGCAAATAAATTAGGTGGAAAGGATGTTCTCTTTACTACCTAACAGTCATGCCATGACTATAACATAAACATTCAAAACTGAAGACTTAGGAGTTTTAAGAGTCTTAATCTGTGTTTTGGCTTCTGCAAAGTCCATTGTTGTTAAACAGCTCTTTAAAGGACCTCTTTCTCACCTCTAAACTCTCTGTCTCTAAGCAAACAGAAAACATTGTGCCTCATTTACTGTCATGTGGCCAGTTCTGCAGTGAAATATGGTAGATGTTTAGCCACTGCTCAGGACTACCAGTACAGGCAGTCAACAGATTAGAAGAGAAAGTGAAGAAAAACACAATATTCAGTTAAATGGGAGCGTAATACAGGAGGATATGGTTGCATAAGTCAAATTTTCATGAAAATGTGAGGCTTAAACATTTGTAACTCTTAGAGAAAACAGCCATTGGCACTAAAAATAACACTTCACTATGGTCTTGGTTCAGTATGTCATACAGTGACTTTTAGTACAGTGTTAGTAGTAGATGTTGACATCATCAGAGGAACATGGTTTTATCTAGCTACTGAGGACTTTGGGTTTGTCTAGTTTGGGGAAAAGCAGGCTGAGTGGTAACCTCATTGCTCCTTACAGCTTCCTGAGGAGGAGAAGTGGAGAGAGAGGTGCTGGTCTCTTTTCCCTGGTATGCAGTGATAGGACATATAGGAATCATTCAAAGCTACTCGAGAGGAGGTTCAGACTTGAAATGGGGAAGCATTTATTTACCAAGAGGGTGGTCAAACCTTGAAAAAAGCATCCTAAAGATGCCCCAAGCCTGCTGGACCTCACAGACATGCCTTAACTTGATCAGCTCTGAATTGATCAGGCAGTTGGACTTAGATGATTGTTGTAGATCCCTTATAACCAAACCTATTGTATTCTATGCTATGCTATGCTATTCAATTTCATTGTGTGCTTTCAAAATGCTTTCTTTAATGGCTTTGTTCACAATGGAACTCAAGAATTTAAGGTTTTCCTAATCTCATACCCCTTTGTTGTCAACCATTAACACCAGCTGGTGCCACACGAGCATCTATGGCATGTTAATGGCACAGTCATATGACAGAAGGAGGACAGCGTCATTCAGCTGAGGGTTTTTTCAGCTGACTTCACCACTGGGCCTTCTCAGTGGTCTGAACAATTTATTTTTTTTTTCAGACAATGGGCTGTTCACTATTTATGGTCTCTTTCACTGTTTGTTATTCATGCAGCATGACTTTTAAGCCACAAATTCTAGAGTTTTTCTGTTCCTTATTTATAGTTGTTTATGGCAGTCAGAAGTCAGTCTCTCTTACTTGCCAACACGGCAAACTCAGAGTGAACTTTCAGACAATTCGGTATTTGTGCCAAAATTAATTAAAATAGTGGTATCCAAGGAGAATATCCAGTTAATTGCTAGTAAGGATCAAAGTAATTATGCACATTCCTAAGTTGAATACACAAAGATAATTATACTTATTTCTTTTATCACTTCACAATAAAAGTCTCATGCCTATGCATGGAGTGCACAGGTCTAATGTTGCTCAGAAGACAATGAGTAAAGAAAGGACAAGACCCTGTATTTGGTGTCAGCACACCATTCTTGCTAAACCATGCTGCAAGGAAGATACAAGTACCAGTGCTAGCTTTGGACACCTGAAACCCTTTACCTCAATTTATGTATTTTACAGGCATATAGATGGTCCTTATTTAGCCTGGGTATATGTGATCATCTCTAGAGGGTTTATTTCCAACTAGGCTAAGAGGAGTTCTGATTATGAGCTGCAATGCCTGACCTAATTGTTTCTTTATTTTTCTCTAGCAATTTTACACAGCTTCCTCACCTAGCAGGAACAGAGGAGAATATGCATCTGGCACAGCAAGTCCAAGCTGAGTGGAAGACCTTTGGTTTGGATTCTGTTCAGTTAGTTCATTATGATGTCTTGCTCTCTTACCCTGATGACACTAAGCCCAACTACATCTCAATAATTGACGAGCATGGAAATGAGGTACAGAAAACACCAGTTTTTCCAACCAGGGAACAAAATCACTGTCATACACCTGGGAAGACTATGAGGGAAAGATGTCCTCTGTTCAGTTAATACTGGGCCTGATACAAAGCACACGGAAATCAAGAGTTCCAGTTTGGTTTTGTATTTTGCGTCTTTGTTCCATAGTGTATGTGCTAGGAGTACTAATATTTACTCTGACTCATATGGCATACTGACATACATTGATTAAAGGTGAATTAAGTAAGAGAATTACTTCATGTAATTCAATTGTTTTAAAATTAGTCTGCTATTTAGAAAGAGGAGAGAAACCGTGGTCAGCATCGTTCTTTGCATTGATTCATTATACAGTATTGATGATTGTGCTAAATTCAGTTTCTGGAAGATTAGAGTTTAGGCATCAAAATGTACTATCACAAGGGACATGAGGTCATTACAGAATAGCTCTAGTGCATGTAGAAGCTCCAGGGCTGAGCAGAATGGAAGCATTTTTACCGCTATGATATAACCTGTTCTTGTCTGCTGTACTGAAACCACTTTTAAGGGACCCTGTGTTTATTTATGCAGGACTCTGTGAAGAGTGCGGATGGGATTTGTAAGATCACACACTGAACTTGCCTACTTGACAAGGCTGCCCAGTGCTTGCTAAAGTTTTGTCCACTCCTTATGTAGAGCTCTAAAATCAGAGTCCTTTACACTGCAGGTGCTTGTGAAATGTGTCTGAATTGTCCTTTTTTTCCATATCACCTGGTTTACGTTATTCCTTCTTTTGCATTAGATTTTCAACACATCGTTATTTGAGCCTCCTCCTCCAGGATATGAAGCTGTTAGAGATGTGGTGCCACCCTACAGTGCGTTTTCAGCTCAAGGAATGCCCGAGGTAACAGCAGAATAGTGAAAGAAGCAAAAGTAGAAACAGAAAGAGAAATAGAAGTAGGAACAGAAGTGGAAGAAGAAGCAGAGAAAGAAATAGAAATAATGGAAATAGAAAAGAGTAGCATAGCACAGAATAACAGAGAGCAATACAGAATAATGTGAAATTCCTTAGGCTTTAGTTCAAAACCTGACATAACACCAGTAGGAAAGATGACCTTGCTTTGATGTTCTTGGGATTATTGCAATGGAGCAACGTTCAAATCAAGCAGTCATACATATGTTTAATTTTTTTCTCTCATTTGTATCAGAACTAGATTTTACTTTTCCTTAAAAATATGATAAACAATATTTAATATCAGCTGCTATAAGCTTCCCCAAACATTTCTGTAACTATGCATTGTTTTCCACCTCAGTGAGCAAATAGACTGTTATATTTACACAGGCTATGAGCCAAACCTCATTTTCAGAATGCTGCTTGCCCAAGACTTACACTGACAGGTATAGCTGCACAGTGTTGAGAATGCTTGAAAAAGGCTTTTGTTAGCTTTTCTGGCAATAAAAGTGTTGCAGTGATCTGAATGTAATGCCAATCCTGTCTTCTTGTACCGGTGGTACCAGCAGATGGGTTTTATTTTATAAAGCTGGCCCATGTAACAGAAATTTTCTGGCCTATGATCATTAGGGGTTTCAATTAATATTTTGTAAGATTAGAATTTTATGTTTTGTTCTTAATATTTTTACTGTCTGTACATAGAATAATTTTAGGTTGGCAGAGCCCTCTGAGGTCATCCAGTCCAGTTTCTGCTTTAAGGTTTGATCTGACTTGGAAACTTGCTAATGTTTCTACTCAGACAGCCCACTATATATCAGAATCATGTACTTTCTGAAGTTTGTTAATAAGCTGTCCAAGTTCAGAAAACAAAAGGTACCCTGTATTCATTTGCCTCAGATACTCAAAGGATACTGGAGAATCAGGCAGGTAGTCTGTATCCCAGGATATAGGAGCAATGAATGTTTCAAGAATTGCAGTGGAAATTTCGGAACATAATGTAAGATAAAATTAATGGGTTTTGACCTTTTATCAGAACATATCCCTGAAGAAAGATAGAATAACCTCTCTGCTTTATTTAGTTTGTGGAGAGCTACAGCAAATGATGAGATATGAGAAATGATAAAAACAAGTTTAAAAAGCTTCAGCTTCCTTCTTTAGGAAATTATTTTATTTGAATTAAATATATGAACTGATTTCTGAAGAAAACAATACCTAAAGACAGATTGTCTTTTCAAAACATGATGCTTATGTTCACCTTATTACATAATAGTTTGACGAAGGTTCAGGTACTTAGCACTGTTAGGAATAGCATTCTCCAGTGAGCTGTTTTCTGCGTCTATACTGCAAACAGCAGAGGAGAGAGCATGTATATAGCTCAGCAGTGGGAATACTTGGTGGATCCATGAGTCTTTTGAGTTTTCCCAGTCCAGTTTCTCTATTTTGTGTTAAAAACCATTCTACTAAAAACTAAAACTAAGCTGTGGACTCTACTGTACAAAATACAATTGATATTTACTGTGGTGTCTGTGTCCAAAATGCCTCCAGCTATCCAAGACTGACTCCAGTTTTAAACAGACTATGAAGAGAAGTAAATGCCTCACTTTGAGCACTTAAACATAAGTCATATGTGAGCATTCTCAGTTGTGCATGAAGTCTGGCTGCTTTGGATGGTAGGAGTCTATTAAAAGTCACTTGCCTACCTAGTTGCCTTACGATCAAAGAATTCGTGCTAGAGCCAGTCCTGGAGATCACTGCTCCCAATTTATTATCTTATAAGAACATATCCTCCTTTTGACATGCTCTTTGACAGTATTATTTCAAATTCTACCTCTTTCTGTCAGGGTGAGTTAGTGTATGTGAATTACGGCCGCACTGAGGACTTCTTCAAGTTAGAACGTGTAATGGGAATTAACTGTACGGGAAAGATTGTTATTGCCAGATATGGGAAGATCTTCAGAGGAAATAAGGTAATTCCTGTATATAAAAATGTTACTTGTGCTGCCCTTCACTTGTTTTCCAGAGATTGAAACACTTACCTAAAGTGTTCTTTAGATTTTAGTGTAACTGAGTTTTCATAGAGCTGTGTTTGAAGATGATTTTTTGGTAGAAGATAGCAAATATATATTTCATAGATGTGTAATACATTTCTAGGATGAAAGTAAGTAAGTTGGAAAGTGTTTCATATTTTTATATTGCTTTGCATTCTATAAATTTTTCCAAAAATCACTTTGTTATATGTTGTATACATTGTAATACACTCTAATTCTGAACTAGGCTGTTCTTCCCTATTGGTTCAGCTGTCCTGTAAAATGTCAATATTGTATTTCTTTATAATGGTTTCTGTACACCAGGCAGAGAGTATAACTATATGGAGGCTATCTTAAATTGTATATTTGGTTATTCAACGTCCCTGTCATAGAAATATTTTTAAACTACAGTTTTCTGCAGATTTCCATGATGTGATAGTAAAGAACATAATCCTTTGCATAGTTCAGGCATACACTCAAGTTTTTATCTCAACAGGGATCTAAGAAGACAGTCTATTTTATGTGTATTTGCTTCTTGTACAGCAATTAATTTGACCCTAATTTGAGCAGGACTATAGTTTGTATTTGTCAGTTACCTAAGGATATCAAACACTGAATCTCCTCACTGGAATGCCCCTTCTTGTTATGCTATTGACTTATTTTGTATGAAGCTTCTAAGTAGATAACTCACTGGTTTACGTACATACCATTTTCACCAGTGAAAAGTGACATAAAACTCATATTCTGGTTCAGATAATAATTTCACTAAATTGTTTACCACTCCTAAAAGTAATATCTGAATGAAAAGCACCTAAAAATTGAAGAAGATATTACTATCTATGAATCCCTTCTTAAAATGAAACACAAATACCTCAGAGTTACTAATATCTAGAGGGGCAGTTTTCCTGTGGTTTGGAAATTATATGCCATCATTGACACAAAGGGATGATATGTTCATTCTTACAGTAGTATTTCTTATGACTGTTTATATACTGGACAGTTTGATAGCCTGTATAAAATCTGGAGAACTGTACTGCCATTTTCCAACTTCCTAATGGTGTGCAAGAACAAGATAGATGATGAAGGCAAGTACTGTATTTCCTTAAAATAGAAAGTAATAATAATAAAAAAAACCTATGATATTTCTGGATTAAAATACCCAAATTTAAAACTGTTGAAGTTTAGTTGTCACTCAATCAGTATCCATCACTGTCATATCTAGTAGCAAACCAGATTGGGATGTCAGAATGACATATATTATACAATAATAAAGTCACACGAGAACTCTTTTAAAACAGCATGCAAGTCAGTCCTTCTTCCATAATAAACTATACACTCTGCAGTTAGTCTTGTTTGCAGCCAAAGACAGTTTCAGCTCTCCAATAATGTTTTCCATGTCATTGATGTTATCTCCCAACTAAAAGTCAAAGCAACAACAAACCTCTTACTTTCATATGGAACCTGATATCTGCATGTATATTTTTCAGGAAATTTTATAGCATGAGACTTTACTTATGCCAAGAACTGTAAAAAACCCTGAGGAAAAACCACTGTAATTTATAATACCTTCTTTTGTTCCTTGAGTTCTGTGGTCAAGCTATAAAGGACTGGATAGGGACCAGAGATGTGCTTTGCAGGTGAAGAATGCTGAATTGGCAGGTGCCACGGGAATTATTCTGTACTCTGACCCTGCTGACTACTGTGCCCCAGGAGTAGACCCCTATCCAAATGGCTGGAATCTTCCAGGTGGAGGAGCCCAGCGTGGGAATGTATTAAACCTTAATGGGGCAGGCGATCCTCTGACACCAGGTTATCCTGCAAAAGGTGAGTGACTCTAGAGAAGACATGCTCCGAGGGTCTGGTATTGGGAAGGGGCAGGCAGTGGGGATGTTCTTTCCCTTGTAACAAACCACTTTTTTCTCAATCTTTGTTGCTCGAAAGAGGCAGCTTTGGGTTTCATGTCAGTAGGCCACTTCTGTAAGTGGTGCATGAGAGGAAGGGAGGGCATGTAAGGCGGAACCACAGAGTGCTCACCTGTATTCATCACCTTCATCTTATGCTTCCTGAGCTGTTTGAGCTGTGTGTAAGGTTTTTCATTTATCACCTAAACCAGACCATTTTGACTGAAATTCGTTAAGAACTGTTCATGGCAGCACTTGAGACAGCATATCTGAGAGAGGCAGTTACCTCAGGAAAAGTGGTCCTTAAATGATGGACAGTGTTGCCTCTAGGCAGCAGAACTTGAGCTGGAAGGAAATGTACGTTCACAAGAGCAGCACGGCAGAGCAGACCATGGGGACGATTTCTTTTTCCTCATGCTAAAGTCAGTGATCTCACAGATGAATCACTGTTTTCTTCCCTCAGAAAAGGTCCCTGTGAATGTTGTATTAAGGAAGAAACTATTCTTTTCCATATATACTTTTGTCCACATTGTAAAAATTAAGTTTCTCATTTGTAAAATACCATGATTTCTATTTGAGCTTTGTCAGAACAAAACCTAGATTTCATTTTGTTCACAAAAACAGCAAACCAGAATATTCAGTAGTTCAGTGTTTATGATTTTATCTGCATCTTGTTATCAACTGGCAAATTTGTTTTAGTTTCCAGCAGAATGTTTCAAGCATCAGATTAAGGGCTCCCTCTTTGCTCTTACCCTTTAGCTTAGTCTGAACTTCTTTCCTGTGAGGAGAAACATTTCTATTCAAAAGGATTTTAACACAAAAAATTAACACTATGGAAAAACCTTCATTAACATCTCTCTGAAAACGTGCAGGTAATGTCAGTCCTGTATCTAGGCAAGTGAAATGATTATCCCTGACTCCAGTGTTAGGATGGTGCTGTGAACTGTACCGATTCCTTTTGAGAGTTGTAAATGTGAAAATATTTGTCTTTTGCTTTCAGAATACACCTACCGATTAGATAAAACAAGTGGTGTAGGTCTCCCAAAAATTCCGGTTCATCCTATTGGCTATCACGATGCAGAGTCATTACTGCGGTAAGTGTATGGGAGACATGAACAATTTTAAGAAGACTGTTTTTTGAAAGTTATGGGAGCATTTGAAAAGAGAGGAAGGACATTTGCACTGTGTTTATCCTGTAGCTGTTGAGATAATATGTTTTTTTTCTTATTAAACTCTCTGTAGGAGGTAAATGTGTTATCTGTTGCTGCATATCAGATATATACAGAGTGATCTGGAAAGGACCATTTGTAATATATCCCAGGCAGTCAAGTATACTGGAGGTATAAAGTACCTCTCAGTTTGAATAAAGGCAAACATTTTCAAGGCTGACATGGTACCTGTCCTGTGAAAAAGATCAGAAATGAAGTAATTCATTTGTCCAGATAAGTACTTGCCATGAATATTTGTTGGGACAGTGTCTGTACTGTCCTCTATTAAATGAAGGTGTATGCTTTCTCTCATCAGATGTGTTATGTTGTTTAAATATTAAATTATTTCCTTATCATTTATATTTATACTAAATGATACTAGTGAACCAGTGTAAGCACAGTGAGGAAACTCAAGAGTTTGAGAGGGCATTTCATAAACATCTGCATATAAGTTTGCTTACTAAATGTGCAAGTGGCATGGAAAAAGGCTGCCAGCTTGCTAGTGGACAGCATTAAAATTCATAATTATTTCAACAAACCAAATAAATTCACTAAAACCCATTAAGATTTGATTGAGTTGGAAAGTGTATCATTCCCCTAAAAATGTAGCAGTAATAGTCTATATTATCTGTATGAACTGTAGAGTTGCAAAGCAGGAAATGCCAGGGTTGGCAATGGTATGATGGATAAGTGTTTAGAGCAATAAGTGAATATAGTCTTGAGTATGTGTTTGTATAGGAATTTTACACCTAAATCGCATGAGAAATCATTCTACTCAGTCTGATGCCTCTGTTTGACTACTGAGTCAGGAAAAAAAAAATCTATCTTGTTTCTCTATTCAGATTTCTCCTGAAGTATTGAAGCTATCTATTTTTATAGGAGACAGAATTTTACTATCTTTGGTGGTTTCAGATATCTGATGTTTATTAACACTGTCCTAATGGTTTTCCTATTTCTTCCCAAACTTCTATAACTAATATATCTCCAAAGTGTCTTTTCTTTAAAACATTCTTGTTATCGCTGTTACTAAGATAACTTCTCATAATGAGAAAGGTATAGGTTAAAAAACCTCTTTTATCCACTGCCAACTAGTAGTGGTAGAGCAGATTAATATGTATAAATATGATGTAGTTAGATATTTCTCTTCAATAAGTTGTAAATAATTCTGGAACTTGTTTTTAGTAATTATGAATGAAATCTAAATATTTTTAAAATACTTTTTTCACATTTGTCTGGAGAAGTCATAACTTCTTGTTATTTCCACTACCATATTTTTATGTAAAAAATTTGAGGACTTGAAGACATGCTGTATTGTAGTGTGGAATAAAGCTTGACTAAAGTATGCATTTACAGTAAAAGACATGCTTTCGTTTACAATAAATATATTTTGCTTTCAAAAACAGAACATCCATCGTACTTCTTAATATTTTCTTTATTTCTCACAAGTTCATGTCAAAAATATAAGTCCTTTATGTGAATAAGTCTGTTTCTTCATTTGTGTTTGGTGCTGTTGTAAGATGTCTGTAACTAATAATGATTTTTTTTTCATCATAGTAATATGGGAGGACATGCACCACCTGATAGTAGCTGGAAAGGAAATTTGAATGTATCTTACAACGTTGGTCCTGGTTTCGCAGCAAGTTATTCTACAAGGTCAGTTTTGTTTCCTAAGGAAAGCATACTTGAGATCAGAGAAAAGACAGGTAGAGCAATAGATATTTGGCCAAACGTTAGAGTGTTTTTCATTTTTCTTTCACTCTTCTAAATTTAGAAACTAGTTGCTAGCAAAAATCTTTGAATTTGGAGTTCTGATCCTGTTTATATAAATCTTATTGACATCAGAAACATTGCATAGCTATCAAGGGCTGAATGCTCTTCTCATTTGCACAGGTATAAATCCAGAAAAAAATTCCACTGAAATATTTTCAGATTTACCTTGGTTTAATAGAGGGTACAGCTGGTCAAAATGCTTTCCTTATCATTTATATTTGTACTTTTGAAAGGTGTCAAGATGTTTTATTGTCTAATCTAGTGGATTTTCTCTGTATTTTCTTCCCAATATACTAGAAAGGTGAAAATGCACATTCATAACAACAACGAAGTAAGAAGGATTTACAATGTGATTGGTACTATCAGAGGCACAGTGGAACCAGGTAAAATCACCTGTCTTCAGCATAATGTGAGTGAGAAGCGACCCCTACATACACTTCATAGTTACAAGGGGGACATGAAGAATATAGTTTTCTCTTGAAATACTGCACTACATGATCATTGGTGTTGAAATGTTTATTGCACCAGCTTTCATATGGTTCAGGGTATGTCAGCACTTTCCCTGTGAATGCTGATTTTCAAGAGAGAGTCCAATATGGAAAATATTTGTCTTCAGGCAAATAACTTTGCAATTGGAAGAATATTCTTAAGTGGGTATTCTTCCCTACTAAACACAGAAATGGATTTTGCATTCCATCTGAAGACACCGTATCGGCCACTATTTACTTTCTGTCTGTCTTATAGTCTCTTGTAACCAATGTGATTTTATACTCAAAAAACCCCATATATGTAGACATCCCTAGGATGATGACAACATCATTTATCTTGTTACTGCAGCACTTCCCTTGTGCCTGAAACACAACTGTTAATCATATTGTAGTAGCACAGAGATCTATTCTGACTTTGATCTTAAGAATCACATCTCTGTCATTATTTGAACAACTCTTTTTCTGATTGATTATATATATTCAGAGAAATACTGCATTCAGCACAATCTAATGCTGTGAATTTGTGTGCTGTGCATATATAATTAGTGGATCAGCTTCACTATGAAACACACTACTGTAAAATACGGAAAGATGCTTCTATCTTTAGGGAAAAGCTGCAGTATTTCTAATAATAGAACTAATGCTCTGGAATTTAGGAGGTTTTAAGTCTTCTGGGATTCAGTTATTGTGCTTGACAAATTCTCTAGCACTGACTGAAAAATACAGAAAAATGTCTTTGGAGTTTTAAAATGTGTTTTGCCTTTCTGTCATGTGTATTATAAACAGTTAATCTCTGTGGCCTGATACATACATGGAAAAAAAATACTTCAAATTAACAGCTCTATGGCAAGAAAATAGTTTTCCTAAGTAAACCTCCAAAATAATTTCTCCAGACAGATATGTCATCCTGGGAGGCCACCGTGACTCATGGGTATTCGGTGGCATTGATCCGCAGAGTGGGGCAGCTGTGGTTCACGAGATTGTGAGGAGCTTTGGAAAACTGAAAAAGGAAGGTAATAAAACTCATCAAAGTAAATTATCTCAGCAGTGCCCATTGATTTCACTGAGATTTCAACATATGCTTAAAATTAAACACGTCTATCTGATGCCTAGAATAAACCATGCTGCTCTGCAGATGTTATCTAATTCCAGTTACAACTTTGTTATATGAAAGGTCCTTCTGCTCAAAAGAAAGTACACCTAGAGGGAAACAAAACACAAAATGGGGGATACTGAAATAAACATGATGTTCAGGTACAACTGATTACTGTGTATTTGAGGATGGTCAGACTGGATGTTTCAATGGTCTTATAAAATTGATACAGTGGTGGACTGATAAAGGCTTCATAAGGGCAACACTGAGAGCTTTCTCAGCACTTAACAGTGGCTTGGAGGCAGACTCAAGAATAAATAAAGAATCTCTGTAATACAGAGAATGAGCTGTGCAAACGGAGTAGGAGGTAGTGGTTAAAAATACCTCATGCCTAGTCGCATTAGAATAGGAACAAATGTCAACTGCACCAACTTTCTCCTTCTGTCAGAGCAAATGCTATCTCCTTACTTGACATCCCATGGAAAGAAGCTCTGACAATGCAAATACTGTTCTAGAGAAGCATTCTTTGCCTACACATTACACTTAACACTTATTGACATTTAGTTTTCTTCCCATTTCTCCCAGTTACTGGATATCAGGGAAAGCTGTCTTTGGAATGCAAACAGGAAAAAAAAATTAAAAATTAAGAAGGAGAGGGAGTAAAAGATGAAAAGGTTCCAGTAACTTCAAAGAAAACTTCAGGCTGAGATACAGAGGCAGGGCAATAGAGCCTATTCCATTTGTCATGAGTTTAAATCAGAGGCAGAATTTCAAGTGAAAGATCTTTCCTTTGAAGGTGATCTTTCAAAGTTACAGGGAATTCCTTATGTTTTCAAATCAGGCATTTGGAAGACAAGTCAAAGAAAGTCAGTAATAGATATGAAAACATGCCACTTTTTCTGTCAAAGTAGACACTGGTATACAATGTATACTAAACTGAAAAGAGTGAAAAGAGTAGAAAATCTTTCTTTCAAGAATTTTTTCACAACACATTATTTTTCCTTGGTCAGAGTTTTAAATTTTAGACAATTTTCTTGAAATTAAAGCTGAGAGAAAAGAAGGAATACATTATTTGGCACAATATTGAAGTAGAGGTGAGATGGCTACATTAACAAATCATTATTATGTTAGGTTACTGAAGTTGGTGTTAAAATTCCTTAAACATGTCTCTTTCCCCACAGATCATGATACAAGATGAGCCTCCCCCAAACTGGCATTTCTTCTCACATTTCAGCCTTTGTTTTGGTAATACAGTTTTCCTGGTCTTTCATTGCAGGATGGAGACCAAGGAGAACAGTGATATTTGCAAGCTGGGATGCAGAGGAATTTGGCTTGTTAGGATCAACAGAGTGGGCTGAGGTAAACCAATAGTGTTCAAAAAGAAATTTGGATGGTGTCTGCTCTTTGAGAAATCTGTATTAAAAAGCAGCACTTCTTTCCTCCCTCCCCCTCTTTTCCTTGCACACACATTCTCTCTCTCTTTCTTCAGTTTCCTTTTGAATGTATAGCTCCATGCAGTATATGATGTGTTTCTGTGGAACAGCTGTTTCTGTTGTGAGTGGGAAAAAAGTTCTGGGGGAAAAAAATTTGTCAACATTTTCTTCCTTTTTTCTTTGTCATAGGAAAATGCCAAAGTATTGCAATCACGAGGAGTGGCTTATATCAATGCAGATTCTTCAATTGAAGGTACGTGGTTTTGAACTGTGTTTTACAGAAATAGTGATGGTATGACTGGGAGGGATTTTGCCTGGAGATTCATGAGACCTTCATTGTCATCATTTTGTTGCATTAATTCAGAAGTGGATATGGGGAGAAACTACCACCTGTGATCATAAAGTATCCTTCAGATATTCCTGTTTTTTCAGAAAAGAAGTCCCTTACAGTAGCTACACTGTTTGGGAAGTCATAGGGAGGGACAAGAAGTGTTGTGCCCCTGAGTTCTATGGCAGCTCTTCAGAGTCAGCTTCTTTTCTTGTAACATGCATAGTAATCACAGGGACATAAGAAAAGCTCTGAAGAATTTCTTCAAAAGCTGGGCTGAAATTCATTATGACCAATACAAATGCACTGACAAGATCACAGGGAGACTCTTCTCCCAGGCAACTAGCAGTAAGACAAGAGGGCAGACTCTTAAGCTGTGCCAGGGCAGATTTAAGTTGAATATTAGGAAAAAATTTTTTACAGAGAGAGTAATTAGACATTGGAATGGGCTGCCCAGGGAGGTGGTAGATTCACCATCCCTGGAGGTTTTTAGGATGAGACTGGATGTGGCACTTAGTGCCATGGTCTAGTAACCACAGTGGTCTCAGATCTAGGGTGGGACTTGATGATGTCAGAGGTCTTTTCCAATACAGTTAATTCTATGATTCTGTGATTCCCAGCTTACTCCTCATAAAGAGTGTAGCTCTCCAGTTCGCTTACTTATTAACAAATAATGGCATGAGATTTCAGCTGAGTGGAAGTTCCTTCTTCAAATAAATAGTTTTTCCTGTTTTTCAGGAAACTACACACTGCGAGTGGATTGCACACCACTGATGTACAGTCTGGTGTACAGTCTGACTAAAGAGGTAAGATCACTTGAAATTTTTAGCCAGTACATTCAGTGCTCACTCACTTGATGGGGCTCTGTCTTTAAAATATGGTGTCAGATGTTTCTTTTTTGGCTGCAGTATCCCTTTTAGGTCAATAGCTAAGTAATTGGAGCTTTTTCACAGAAGGGCCAAGGGGATTTCAAGCTTATACCTTTAAATATTAGCTATTCAGGATTAAGGGATTTTTCCACTTCTTCTGTGAAAGCATTTCTTCTAAGAACAAAAGAATAAAAGAATGCTATGAACCAGAGGACAGAAATAAGCACAAACCTGGCTGCCCAGACCAACTACTAGAGTGCTCATGGTAGTGAGAGACTCTGACTCCCTTTAAGCAGGGAAAAAATTAGTCCTACTAGTGTATTGTTTTTGCTATAACATGACAGGTTTGGTCAATGTGCTCAGCTTTAGTGTACCCTGTTAGTTATTCATTGGCACTGACCTTGACGCTCTCACACATATTTGTGTGACATACAAAATTAAGAGGTAGAGACCTTTCTCAGGAAATAGCCTCACCATCTTACATGTACGATGTTCCTTGCTTTGGGAGTGGGTCTTAGAGGCTGGCATTTTATTTCTGGGGCTTTTTTCCTGTTCAACTGTATTAAACAATGAACATTTAATCAGTCTTTTTTTGTGTTTAAATGCATATATAATGCACATTCATCTACTATATATATTCTATAAGTCTATCTACCTTCATCTGCTGTATATATTTAGTCATCTGGTTTTTCTAGGGTTGATAATTTATTATCTCTTGAAAGCTGGCATTAGACTAGTACCAAAGTACAGAAAGGGTAGTAAATCATTATAATAATTTTCTGGCAAATAAAGTACAACAAATAAAATGGAACTGTTAAAATCAGGTGCACAGATAAAGGTATTTCTGTCATAAACTGCAGAAGAGGTGATCACCTGCAGTTCCCGTGGTAACCTGTGCTGAATGCAAGAACTGTCAGAAAATCAGGTCAGGAGGGTCTCAGTTTGGACAGCAAGACCCATCATTAAAATGTTGACCTAAATACCAGTAAAAATGATTGCATTGTGTAACCCTTCCTCAAGCTGGGAAGCAACAACAGATGCTGATGAATGCATATAACCACAGCTTGTTGGTAGCTGATGTCTGAAGAAAATGCTGATCAGGAAGCACGTCCCATGTGATCCCATCCAAAGTTAATCTGTGGTAAAAAGTCTTATAACTGTTATACAAACAATTAGCTTAATGGACAAACACCCCCAAATATATTAGTTTTAATTTGATTCCTATTCTTAGGTAGTTATATATGTATATATTAATAGTAGAAGAGATATTAATAATCTTTATTAGATTCAAGATAATAAAACCTCAGCATTCTACTGATAATAAGATGCTGCTCAGTTACCTTCAAAGTAGTCAGAGTGATAGGAATGATCTTTAGGATGATTGTGATTTATATATACCTCTCTAGCAGCTATGATGACAAAAACACCAGGTACTGTGCACTTTGCCTTTCTCAGGTTGCTTCTGCATTCATAGACATAATTTTTGTGAACTAAAACAAGGTAGAAATGGTTCTGAATTAAAGTAAGACAAAATTGAAATTTCCCAAGTAAAGCCAGAAGTTTTGTTTTGTGAGGGATTTTTTAGTTAAATATTTAAATTATATGGCTGAAAATCTCAAAAAGAAACATCAGAATGTAAATATTGACTTGAAATGTTGTGCTCTCCTTGTGTTTTTTTTCATCTAAAATTACTTATGTTTTAGCAAATAAACTATTCCTCTGGAAAATGCTATGCATTTAAGTGTTAAATGGAAATGAAGAAAGCTTGAGGGACTTAAGACTGTGACTTACTTATTGCCCTAAGTGTTTTGTGTGAGGACAGGTCGTTGATTTGTTGCTTGGTAACATTTAAAATTGTACCCTTTGTCTTTTCCTAGATACCAAGTCCTGATGAGGGTTTTGAAGGAAAATCTCTTTATGAGAGTTGGTATAAAAAAAATCCATCAAGTGAATATAAAGAGGTCCCCAGGTCAGTGACAAAAGAACACAAATTATATACCAAACATTATTATAACTTGTAGAATGTGGGGTTTAAAGAAACACCCACTTGAAAAGCTGAGTGCTTAAAAGAAATGATGTGTTTCTCAGCTGGTATAAATTTCAGAGTTTTATTGATTGCAGCTGGTACGTTATTGTACAATAGTGTTGCGAACCTGCCTTTGACGATGAAGAGAAGGCTTTATATATGAAAAGTGTTCATGTAGTTTTATAGAGATTTAGACAAATAAGAGCAGTAGGCACAAGCCAGTGGCAGGCACACAAGATGCCAGCTCAGCAGCTTTCCCTTGCATTTACTTCCAGTCTCCTGGAAGGCCTCTGAATGTGGGGGGCTGAGGGGCACGTCAGGCAGGATTTACAACACCGTCCTTCAGATTTTCCAGAGGGTGTCTATAGAATCTCAATGACTGATTTTATTCTATGAAGCCATGCTGATACTTCTGTGATTTCTCTCAGTTGGGAGCTTAGAATAGTAGAAGTTCAGCAGGAGGAGAGTTCTTATCAGTGATAAAAGACAGTGAGTGAAATTCTCCTCCTGGGAGCTGGATATCTCTGGCCCTGAGAACGATTACTTTGCTCTTCCAAGAATGCAACTGATGTGGTGCATGCACTGTCGGGGTCAGAGGCAATGCATATGTAGTGACAAAAAGAGCATACTAGGAAAAGAGTGTGTAGTGTATAGTGACTGACTGCTGAATAAATAATTGACACGGTACTTGGAAGCAAACTAAAATTATACTTTAAGTATTGTCACTCAAGGCATTTTGCTCTTTCTTGTTAAAAGAATAAATAAGCTGGGTTCTGGCAATGACTTCGAAGTCTTTTTTCAACGTCTTGGCATCGCTTCAGGCAGAGCACGTTACAGTAAAAATTGGGTAAGTCTGTGTCTTTGTAATGTGGTCTCCCCAGTAACTACCTCAATAACATCACATGTAGGGGAGCCATTTAGACTGCCAGCTTTTTGGGATAGTTCAGTTTAGTGTGTCAGAATGTTAAGTAATTACTAGAACTCTATGTTACTTCAATACAAATATGCAATATTTGTAATAAATAAGGAATATGTACAATACAAATATGTAATAAATAAGAATGATCAACTTGGTTTCAGTCAGAAAAACTTGACTTTAAAAACTTTTCTGTGCTTTGAATCCCACAGAAAGGGTTTTCAAGCTACACCGAAGTATCCATAGCTGAGTAATAGTTTGGTTTTGTTTTGGTATTTTTGTTTCAGAACATAGAAAAATATAGCAGCTATCCAGTTTACCACAGTGTCTATGAAACCTATGAAATTGTGGAGCAGTTCTACGATCCCACTTTCAAGAATCATCTGACAGTAGCTCAGGTACGAGGAGGGCTGGTGTTTGAATTGGCCAACTCTGTTGTGCTTCCTTTTGACTGTAGAGATTATGCATCAGCTGTGAGCAACTATGCTCATATCATCTATAATTTGTCAAGGAATCATGAAGAGGAACTGGCAACATACAACGTATCCTTTGGTACGTACAGTCTTTCATCACACTCCTCCTCCATTAATGCTAGCAGTGCCTTGTAGTAGTGTGTGTCTTGGTCATGGCCTGGTATTTACCTTGTGCTGTATGAGCAGTAAATAAAACAAGAGCCACACCCTCCAATAATTTGAAAGGTGAATATTTTGTCACTAGTGTGTGTGCCTGTGTAGAGAATATGCCACTGCCAAAAAGAGCTAACACTTACAGTCGCATGTGCTTTGACCTATGTATGATTCACCAATGTTGACAACAATGTATCATTGTCTTGTTTCCTTAAAAATAATCATACTGCTTTGCAGCTTACAGTGTCGGATAATTCTCTGCCTCAGAAGCCTCTGTTTTATTGACAGGATTTAGCTGCTTGTGACCAATATGAGCTACATGCATGCACATGCACACCCACCCACACATATGCTCTGTCTGTGCAGAGGGACATAACAGTAAAACACAGGCTGTAGGGGTTATAAAATCTCAGACCTATGAACAGTCTGATTCTGGCAGTCCACGATCCAGTTTTTGATATTTCCATATATTCTTCAAGTAGCAAATAATAAACAATATCCACAGAAGTACTAATTTCTACTGTCTCTAAGGCAGGTTTTCACACATAATTACGTATTTTTTAGTGTAGGAGTGTGGGGTCATCTGATTTTCCTTCATCAACACTTAACAGATCATGATCACAGTGAAAGATAAAGCTTTAATTTGTAGAATTTGATTTGCTAAATGATATCTTCACAATAGGAAGATAATTGATTCCTTCCTGCTCCCTCCAGATGCTCTCTTTTCAGCTGTGAAGAATTTTACAGAAGTTGCTACTAGCTTTCATGAGAGACTGCAACAAGTAGATATCAATAAGTAAGTTTAACTCCTTTTTTCTTCCAGTCAAATACTACATGTAGTCTTCTGAGCTCAGAGGGCATAGTCAGCTGGTACCACTTAATAGAAAAAAAGGTAAAAAAGAAGCTGTAGTTGGGGCGAGCTTTTTGATGAGCTTTCAAGAAGTTCTATGTACTACCTATGCCAAAAGGCCTAATTTGCATTTGACTTAATTTGTAATTTATTCCTTGTAGGCCATGCCCAGAATGACAAACCAAGCTTGGTTTTGTATATACATATGTGTATATAACATTTCTTGGGAAGAATCTAATTTAGCCATATGCTTACCCTTATGGAACACTAACTGAGAATAAAAGCCATCTTTTTAATGGCAGCAACTTTCAAGATAAATGAGTTAACAATAATTTCTTGTGTAAAAGATGACATTTATGACATATGACATGTATGTGACATTTTCAAAATGGTTTTATTGATGGATGGCCTAAATCTAAGTTTTAATTAAACCAACCAGTTTCAGTTTCTGTTTGCACCACTGTAAACTTGAAACTTTATTGATGACAGTAGAGTTACTCCAGGCTTACAGTGGTATAAATTTTACCATTTTTTATTGATGAATGCCTTCAAAACTCTACAATAAGTTGGATGTAAACTACCAAACCCACATATACTCAGTATAATCTTCTTCATGGTTCTTTTATTTGTTAAGCATCAGTAGTATGCTCAGAGCTATTCAAAGCACACATACACAGATGGTCTCTGATCCAGGGAATTTAAAATCTACCACCAGAAAAACACAATTCTTGGATGACTCAAAAGATGGTTCTAACATCACAAGGTTTCTTTTTTTCAGATGTGATTTTACATAAAAGCTTATGCAATTTTATTGAAGTAATTTGTGGCTGGCTGACTTTGTGGGAAATAGGGTCTGTAGAAAACTTTTGTACAAAAGAGAATGGTCTACTAAAGTATCCTCATGAAAAGGAGATAAAGGAGTAAGACGCAAGATGAGAGAAAATACCTGAAATTGTCTTCTTTGACACTATTACTTGGCCTTCAAAAACAGCTTTAAGAGACTTTCAGAACCAGGCTGTCTCACAACAGATCGGCATAATTCTTCTTTACAGGTTAGCTGACATGGACTGTCTTTTTTGGGCTACACTTTAACTTCAACATCTTGGATCTGTTGCCTAAAATCAAAAACATAATTCTCTGGGCAGTGTTAGTGTAGAAACACTGTTAGTATAGAATGCTGCCCTTCATAAATCCAGAGGTGTGAATTGTGGGGCACAGGATTAAGAGTAGGTCAAACAGTCTGTAGCTAACATACTCCTTTTTTTCTTTTTAGCCTACTTGCTGTCAGATCACTAAATGATCAGCTCATGTTTCTAGAAAGGGCTTTTATTGATCCTCTTGGATTACCTGGAAGGCCGTTTTATAGGTGAGAAATGGTTACTTTTCACTTTCCTCCTGTAATACCCTGTAAGAATTCTGTTAAGATTCACAGGTCTCTAAATAGAGTTATAACAATTTTATTCAACACACTAAAAGTAGATTAAGCAGAACAAATAAGGTTAAAAAGGGAAAACAATATTGGGAAAAACTTCAGTGAGATACATTATACAGAATGAAGAAGAGTCTTGTTGGAACCATATTCAGATCATTTCTGCTGATTTCACTGGGCTTCTAAACAGATCCAAAGTTAAGCCCTGGACTCATTTCAAGCAATTGTAGTGGTAAAGGGTCTATAGGAAATTAATATTATTTGAAAGTGAAATACTGTATAATTCAAGTACTACAATTGGATCAACTATAAGAAAATAGTCATGCTAGCAAATGCAGTGTGGAGGGCAGCACTAAAAAAGCAGTGGTCCTCTCATCCAGCTCAAGAAGTAAACCTTACCTGAGAAGCAGTCAAATCAAGTCTAGGCTTTTGTTCCTTTTACCAGTCAGCATAATTCAGAACAGTAATCTTTCCACTAAAAAGTTCCACTAAAAACTAACTGCAGAAGGAGAGTTAAGTTCTACAGTCCTTGTACCTCTCATAGCTTATGATTAAAAATCTATTGAGAACAGTCTCTTGTTAAAGCATTGGCTTTCCTATCTCAAAGCATACCTGCATCTGTTGGAGACTGTGTATATCTTTGAGAAAAAAAGCTGGATTTTTTAGAATCTTTTAATTTCATCTAAAATGAGGGAAAGGAAAATACTTGAGTCAACTTTATCTCAAGTAGCTATAAAGTTCTGGAATTCACATGGCATAATGTAGCTTATGTTGGTTTCTTGCTTCATAGACTATAGCTACTATTGCTGCAATAATCTTATTTATTTACATCCTAAGTGTCAAGAGTTTAACAGATGGTATAGAAACAGACTAGTTTTATCCAGAAAATTGTATGTTTTATTTTCCTAATGCAGAATATTGCTATTTTCCTTCCCTACAGACATGTTATATTTGCTCCAAGCAGCCATAACAAGTATGCCGGAGAATCCTTCCCAGGGATCTATGATGCCATGTTTGATATCGAAAGCAAAGCTGATCAACATGAAGCCTGGGAAGAAGTGAAGAGGCAAATTTCCATTGCAGCCTTCACTGTGCAGGCAGCAGCAGAAACACTGAAAGAAGTAGCATAAATATCAACAACATGATCATCAGTGAAGACAAAGTATGGAATTTTGCAAGAAGTCTTAAAAATGGATAATTGAAAAATACTAGGAGGATTATCACAAAGAACACAAAATAAAAAATAATCTTGTTCTTTGCATATAATATACCCAAGTGGAATGCATTTAGCAATGTTAACAAGGTAATATACTCCGTTCCAAGAGCTCAGGATTTAGATATCTTGTGAAGTGAGAGTGAAAAAGTTTCAGGTTTTCTCTCAACTTTGTATTTTAAGAATTGCTAACCACTGGATTTATTTTCAGAGCTTTGAATTTTGCTGGCTTGATTATTATAGCTGTCTTCATAGTGCATCAGGAAAATAGAATTAATTTCATGTTTCTATCAGTTTCTAATTTTGTTGTGGACTTTTTATTATTTACCTTGGGATTGTATAATTCTCCTCCAAGACAGACATCTCAGCCCTGCTTTTACACAAAGACTCGTGTATGAAGATGGGAAAGCTGTGACATACCATTTGCGGGATGTATAATGATCATAACAAGTTTTAGGCAGCCAGCCCAGAATACTCATCCATGACATTTCTTCTCCTCACATGCTGAACCTTGCAGCTGTTTGCAAATAAATTTAAGCAAGAAGTTTTCTAGTCACTGGAGTAAAAACAAGGCAGACGTATAGCCATCTTACAAAATGTCTTTTGAGAAGACAAACTTCTTTTATCCAAAATCTACCCTTGCTGTACCTTGTCCATATAAAGTTGTTTTTAATATGAAGACAGTTAGAAGCAAAAAAAATTCATCGTGTCTGTAGTTTGAAAGGATAGCAAATTATTGCGATTTTGTAAAGTCTCTATTTCTGATTTTGGTGTGCTGCTGACTCTTATGATGGAGTACTCGAAAGATCACAGTGGGACAACTGAGATCAGACAGAGAAGACTCAGAAAATCAGATGCCTTTGTCTGACGCTCTGCCACTGGAGGATTACTAACCTCTTGCACAGCTAATATTTTGTGTGATTTGATCTGCCATTTTACCTGAGGCATCTACCATGTCTTAAAAGACTGTGTCCCATGATCTGGTGGTTTTCACTATCATGGTAGATAATTTTCCTTTCCGTAAGATTTCATTTATTCATAAATATCTCTACACTTCACATTAAAACTTTTTAGGCAAGTTGCTATAATTAAGTCATTATTTTCCGTAACTGTTTGTCTTTCTGATAAGGGGAAATGCTCTTATGCCCACATTTATTGCCCACTTATTTTCACATTTTTTATGAAACTGATTGGAGTAAACTAGGGAGATTTCATTCCAAATCTAATGTTGATGGGAAACATTGCTGCCTCTGTTGTATCACTGCTGGTTGCTCCACTGCTCCACTTTGGCCAATGGTGGATTAATTATGAATGTCTACAATCCACTTCTCAAAAATTAGCCAGGTTAGTTTAGTTGTCTTAACCTAGAGGATTTTGTCAGCAGCAATCAAAGGAATGATAAAACAAATCTACCATGTAGAGGGGGACAGCAATAAACATCTGTTGACCAGGTGGATACAATAACAGTATTTTTCTGTTGCTAAGAAGGATGAATTGAAGTGCCAAACTCCAAAATTGTGGAGATCTTTCCCTGTGGGACCTGTATGCTTCCCCACCAACTCTTTCTCTCAGCCCAGAAGACATAATTTTTTAATCTCGAGTTTAACCATAGCATAGTTTCATTTAAGTTTAATTAGAGCCCTTTTTGGCAATAGCTGGCAGATAATATACAATATCAGGGCCCAGGACCTCATGAAATACAGTCTTAAACTACAGGAACATCCAGTCAAAAAAATAAATCTGTTGGCCATCCCTTAATCACCGTAGGGAACAGGATACAGGAGGCCTTAAGGTGAAGGGAGGGTAGGTCTAGTTTAGATATTAGGAAGAAATTATTTTCTGTGATGGTGGTAAGGCACTGGCACAAGTTTCCTAGAGAAGTTGTGGATGCCTCATCTCTGGAAGTGTTCAGATCTGGGTTGGATGGAGTTTTAAGCAACCTGCTCTAGTGGAACATTTCACTGCCCATGGCAGGGTGGTTAGAACCAGATGATCTTTAAGGTCCCCTCTAACCTAAGCCGTTCTATGGGTCTATGACTGTTCCCCTGCACACAAAAAATTCAAAGCTAACTAGTCCAGAGAGAGGAGGCTGGTTGTAACATAGTGGTTTACATGAGGTTTTGACAGGGTGGAATTCAAACTTTTCCAGGATTTGGGTCTGCTTTGTGACACATCTTTGTTCAATGCAAACCACAGCCTGCAGCTGTTGAATTTTTAAAGCAAATGGAACCTAACTTAATTTTTTTAAGAGAAGAATGTATTTAGGTGGATTCAGCCCAGCTCTTCTCCCAAGCCCTAGTGCAGTCTCCTATTAAAGAGATTTGAGGTCAGAGACTTTGTGCTACATATTATTGTTTGGGGTGTTTCCATTCTCACTTGTCAGCATGAAGCCTTTCTGATGTCCATTCTGAGAAGAGTAGTACTTGGTGCTGACTATTGGGTCTAAATGCATCCAGCATTTTATTTAAATAAAAATTTTAAATGAATATGCTTTTTAGTCTTCAAGAACTTCTATGGAAATTCTGATAAAAACATTCTATTCCCTAAATAATTTTTTGCTGTCAGTTTTCTATGGAGTTTAAATATAGCCACTGCAGCTTCATTCCTCAAAGACTATTCAAGGCAAAAGTGGCTGGTGTCATAACTGGACAGCAAATGCCAAAGCCTATGTAGCAAATTACTGAAGCTACCTGATTTTTAGTCAGCTAGGCAAGCCATATGTCAAACTATATGCATGGATGCATATGCAGCTCTTCTTTTCCTATATATGTCACTAGGATTACAACTTCTAAGCAGAAAGCATAAAATGAAAGAGTAGTTGTGTATGCACTGAGAAATGTAATTTCACATGATTCAGTTACTAGGATAATACAAAGAAGTAAGCGTCGTATTTCACATTTATGAACAAAATCAGGCCAATTGACATTTATCGAAAAATAGAGACATCTAGTTCCTGCCAGAAAGGTGGAGAATAGTGGTTATATAAATAATATGCATTCAAAGCAGACAAGTGGAGAATAATGGTTAAATAATAAGTAATATGCTTTAAAAGCAGTGTTAATAAGTTCTTGAGAACTTTCTAGCTGCACTGAGAAATATGTCCAGTCCACTGATTCTTAGAGCTTAAAAAAACCTGTCTGAACCAGCCACATGATCATGGAAGAGTATGCATTGAAGGAGCCTACTAAGGACAGGCCAGATACAGGAATAACTCCTTTTTAAGACAATGTATTTTTTGTTAGATCTGCTAAAATATCTCAGGGGCATAGCTATTACCTAACTCAAGCCCTGAGTGTGAAATTAATTAGATTAAAAAACCCAGAAGAAGTGAAGTGAAGTGAAGTGAAGTGAAGTGAAGTGAAGTGAAGTGAAGTGAAAAAGGAGCAGGTTTTTTTAAAGAAAGTATTGCTATCATATGATCACAAATTGGATACTGTTCAGGTTTTCCAAAGAACTCCATACAATAATCATCCTGTGCACTAAGAGTCTAAATCAAATGAAATTAAAACATACGCATGTGTGGAAAAGTGAGAAACTATACCTGTATTAAATTGAATCCTTAGCTTTCATGAAACCAGCAATGTCAATGTTACTTTGGCTGGAAAGTCTGTTGACCTCACTGCATAATTTCTGAATTCTTCTTGTAGAAGAAAGGGTCAAAGTTTGCAATCTGGACTTGTCAGCTGCCAGCAATGTATATTTTATTTTAGCTGGAATCTGATAATGGACTCACGAAGTTCAAGATAACAAAGACTCTGACTCAAAGCATCAACATCTACTACCCTTTCAAACTGATAGAAAGACTGCAGAGGCCATGAGAGAGTTCAGGGGTCTGTGCAACTGGTAGACTCAGAAGGAAACTACTGATTTGAAATAGCAGTTGAGCATTCCCCTGTTGCCATTTTTCCTGCCAGGGCTGCCTTTCCCACAAACCCGAGACCTTTGAATTCTCAAGCCACAAGTTCAACCTTTAGTCAAACAATAGGTCAAGCAGCACAATCAAGTAGCATGTCTTTCTTGCTGCAAATATTAAGCTTTGGAGCACAGTTGCTGAGCAGCTACAGCCTACAGTTTACAAGCCCTGGCCTTTGTCCTGTGTATTATGCATTTTTAATGTACTATTACTCGTTTAGCTAATTGGCTGCATAGCATAATTATGCATTCAACACACAAATGCGTGGTAGTTTTGCATCTGGCATGTGTATTCTTGTGATTTTTTGAGCTTTTCTATTTTGCCAGGGGTTTATATATTCTGGCTAAGTAAACATGTGTAGCTACCTGCAAGTTCTAATAGCTTCAGCTGAACATCAGTGTTGTTTTCACTATCAGTGTGAGCAATTCTCACCACTCCCAAACTCAATATGAGGAATATGCAGTAACTGGTAGTTTTCCTGTTAATTTTAAAAGTTATATTAATTTAAAGAAGTACTGTGCATTCCGGAGTTTGTGTTTTGGACTGTTTTTTTGTTACATGCTCTAAGGAAAGGAGTCCTTTTTCTCAGTAATCTTTGGACAATTTGTTTTGCGTAATTTCTGTGACTTCTTAGATGGTTTTACCTCCTATCAGCTTCAAATCTTTGATTAAGCTTAGACTGAAGTGGGTGTTTTAATAACTGAATAAAATACATTTTTTCAGAGCTATTATCAGAGGCATGCTCTTAGCAGTATCTCGGGCTGGTAATATCTTTGTTCCAGCAGGAACAGGCCCATGTAAAAGAACAGGGTGGCCAATGGATGTGATTTTGATTTGTCCAGGAAATCACTCAAAGGAGGATGAGCATTTTGGGCTACTGGTCATCTTAACATCTCTGAGGTCTCTCCTTGGCTACTAAATGAGATGATCAGTAGCAGCTAAGAGTGAGATGAGGTTTGGTTTGGAGCATCTTCTTACACCTTCTCATATATGTGACTTTGCATTTCAGGCATGCTTTACTTCAGATTGCCCCATGTCATGCTCACTTTTCTCTAACTCCAGTTACTGTGAGGAGCATTTGTAAGACGTGATACTAAAACTTTGGCTTTGTGATTTAGTAATATGTGTGTGTGTATGTGTAACCAAATCTCATCTTGCTTCTGTTTCACCTGGGAGAATGGTAATTACTTAGCCTTTATGTGCTGTTTTTCTCCTCTTCCCAGGAAGTACATAGATGAGATAATTCAGGAATACTTTTGTAATTTATCAGCAGGTAGTTTCAGATGTTTATATACAAAATAGATATAATCAAAGAGAGATGACAAAAATTCTTGTGTTGTAATGTTGCTGACCTTCACAACACACCAAGCTGATTTATAGAATAGAACAGAACAGAACAGTTTGGGTTGGAAGGGTCCTCCAGATATCATCTAGTCCACCTCCCCTCCTGCAGTAAGCAGGTACATCTTCAACTGGATCATGCTGCTCAGAGCCCCGTCCAACATGATCATGAATATTTCTGGGATGGGGCATCCATCACCTCTGGGGCAACCTGTGCCAGTGCCTCACCACCTTCATTATAAAAAAATTCTTCATTATATCTAGTCTGAATTTACCCTCTTTTAGTTTAAAACCATCACATCTTGTCCTATTGCAACTGAAAGTCTGTCCCCGTCTGTACTGAACTTGCATGGCAAGGTTTTGGTGGCAGAGGTGGCTTCTGTGAGGAGCTGCTGGAAGCTTCCCTCATGTCTGAAAGAGCCAGTGCCAGCCAAGGCTGAACCCACTAGCAATGGTGGTGGTACCTCTGGGATAAGAGATTTAAGAAGGGGAAGTAAGTTACTGCACAGAAGCAATTAGAGCCAGACTAGAGAGGATGTGAGAGAGGAACAGCCCTGCAGGCTCCAAGGTCAGTGAAGAAAGAGGGTTAGGAGGTTTTAATTTTTGTCTTTGTTTCTCACTCTCCAAGTCTGTTTTAATTTGTAGTAAATTAAATTATTTATCCCAAAGTGGAATCCGGTTTGCTTATAATGGTAATTGACAAGCAATGTCCCTGTCTTTATTTCAACCCATGACCTTTTTCATCTTATTTCTTGTACCTGTCCTTTGTGTAGGGTATGTGGTTGAAGACAGATTTACACTGTATGTTATATTGCATTTAATTGTAACATAATATACTCCACCTGGGGCCAATGCATGGCATGTAAGAACGTGTCACAACTAATAACTAATAGTTCTAGGACTGTATTTTAAGTGGTAGAAGCCACCTTCTTGCTGCTGTTATTCAACCTTAGCATTGCTAATGCCCTTGTCACTTTAAAAAGACGCAGGCATAGAAATAAATACATTTCATACATCCTCACTGTTGCTATTCTTACCTTCTTTTTTACTGATGTTATCATGTGAGGTCTAATTTTGTTAGCAATCTCCAAAAGCCCTTGTCATTTTACTGTCTATTATGTGCCAGTCCTACACCTGCAGTGCTATATAAATGCTAATAATACATCAATATGCTCATTCTTTATGAGTTCTGTAGGTGGAATTCCATCTGGTTTGTATATGTCAATTGAGATGCTGGTGTGAAATGTCATTGCTGTTTAGAATTTGTGATGGCTTATGAGCAGTTGGGGAATGACAGGGAAAAAATCACAAAACTGGACGTGCCTGTAATTTGAACAAAGTGCTTGAGATGGTGGCTATGACTGTTGCAGAATACTCAAGTCCTTATTCTCTGGAAAGCCCTAGTGAAGCAATTAGGACATTAACTAGTCTTTTCAGCTTTTTCTGAATATTTTGAGCTCAACCTAATGTGTTTAAGAAAGTTTTGATACTCAGAGTACTGATATTGCTTTCACAAAATATATCTACTTTGGACTTTGGTAGTCAGTAGTAGGAACTTGGAGCATTCCAGGCTCCTAGAAAAGCTTTCCTATCTTTAGTCATATAACTGATCTCAAATGGGCAGGTCCTCAGTTCCAGAAAGATCAGTCTTGGCTTCCATATAGCCATGCAGGAACTCACCAGCAGGGAGTGATGTGCAGGGTAAGAGTAAGTTTGTGCAAAAGTATGATTAGCCTATGAATGTATTTTTCAACTATTCCCTAGGTTGAAGTTGTGACCTTTCGCATGAGATACTGATGGTTTGACTGAATTAGACTAGGAAAACTTTATCTTAAGAACCTTGAAGTCTTAAGTGTAAAAAAGCTAGAGAATATAGAAAATAATTTTGCAACTTCTCCCAGTTGCAAATTGATGATTCCTGAAAGTGTCCTCACTGGCTAATCTAAATTGTATTCTCAGCTGCTCTAAGTATTCCTCACTTGCCAAGGATTAATGTTACTATGGATTACAAAAGGAAGCAATTCAGTGCTTCATTGGTAAAGAGGAAACAAGTTTTCCCTTAGTTTTGTCTCATGGCCACTTCCACTGGAACAGATTGTGATCAAGCCTAAATCAAGAGCTTTCAAAAGCAGGAAGTCCTGATAATTAATAGAAATTAGCCTTTTAAATAGTACTTGTAAACTGCTTGGTGCACAGCCTAGATACATAATTGTCACAGAGATACACAGGAGCTGTTTTGTAGAGTGAGACTCAGAAATGGAAGTGGTTTATTTCACTCAGAAAATCATATCATAATAATCCTGGGATTAAGGCTGGTTAGGCAGCATGAGAGCTGAGAAACACAGAAGCCAGGGACAGCCTTGGGGCTGCAGGCGGAAAGAGGAGGAGGGGACAGAGGAGGAGGAGGAAGGCAGCTGCTTGCCTGCCCTCCTCACAGCCTGCCAAGCTACCGGCCAGTGATGCCCCTATGGCCAGGAGCAGGAGCAGGACCTCCCTCTGCACATGGCTCATCTTCCCTGGGCTGCTTGGCTGTTTCCTCCTGGGCTTTCTTACAGGTCAGTATGGAGACCCAGGGGCTCAGCCCCCAGCTTTTGTCCCCTGCACATACTTAAGTGCAACCCCTGTTGTGATTAACTCACCATCAGGGAGATTATACTGCTTTTTAGGTACATTTTAAAGTACTCATCCCACTGCTTTTCTAAGAAGTTGTTTGCTCTAGCAGTTTTGGTCTTTAGGGAGTGAAGAATAGAATGGCTGCACTTCAGCGCACGGCGAGCCCTGGTGAACTGACAGCTTCCAAAACGGGCAACCAGGCGTTCCAGGAGGAAGGATTAATAGAAGAGTTCGAGACTTCAGTGTTTGCCAGATCTCCATGACTTTGTTTTTTAATTTGTATTTCCTGATTTTTTACTGAAGATCTCTTTAAGTGCTCCGATTCAGTTGCTATTTTAGAAATTAAGGGTAGAATGTAGAGGAGGCGGAGTTTGACTGACAGCCAGGAGTGGAGTTACTGAAGATTTTTAGCATACACGATGAACTTTACTAGCACATGAGATTTTTTTTCTAAAGTCACTTTCATCATTTGATTTTAAATCTGAAATTGCATGTCTTTTTTAAACTTATAGCACACACCTAAGGCTAAAGCATTAAAAAAAAAAATCCATCAGGGTTATTAAATATACAAAACATTAGTTTGATTTAGGAGATTTCTGAGCTGCAAATTTCTGGTGTTTGTGCTATTCTTATGCATTTCCCTGAACATCATATTTTGGCTGTGCTCCAAAACAGGATAATGGGGAGATGGACCTTTGGTCCGATCCAGTATCACTGTTCTGTTTAGAGTGTTACTACAATTGCATTTAAGTCTAAGGAGTTGTATATATTGTGCATGTGACATCACATGTATTTGTCTTTCTTTTGAGAATTTTCCTATTTTTTGATTGTCTACCTATAACAATAAAATGATTTTTTGTTTTGTTTTGTTGGGTTTTTCTGTTGCTTTCTTCTTAAGACAAACTAGTACAGTTGATATGCTTTCTCCTACAACCATTTATGGCTACTGAGTAAATATTTAACATTTTAAAACTGACTTGTGTCACAGTTAACTTTATTCCTTTAATTAATAGATAGTCTAACCCCAAGTCTGTAACTATTATAATGCTAGCAGGGTGGCTGTTGAGTTCTAGACCTTCACTTTAAATATGCTTACACATGTATTTCAAAATATATGAATAAATTAAATAAGGGAATTTCATCATGAGTATCAGGAGTTCAAACCTCACACTGCAAACTGTTAATTGAGAATTTAAACTATGGCTTAATGAGAGATGAGTCTGTCTTAAAAAGGCAAGTAGAGGGGATTTACCAGGGATTTAGGGTGTAGTCTTTTGTCACTTTTTAGGCAATTCAGTAAATGAAATATATTTTACTTTTATGCTTTACTTCTCTGAGCTGGCAGACACTGACAGAGGGTACTCTAAGCCTTGTTCATCTGTGTGGTTTTGACTGTTTAATACTTCATGTTGCTCAAAGGCTCAAATATGTGAGGACTGGTGTTCTTGCTAAGAAGGAAGCTTTTCAAATGTGTTTCAGGATGGTTGACAAAACTGACTGAAAAAACACTCAACTCTTCAGTTGTCTACCAAAATGTGAGACAGAAACTTGTGGCTGAAATGAAAGCGGAGAATATCAAGCAATTCCTCCGGTAAGCTGTGTGTATCTTGTTTTTTGAACAATTTTATCGGTCACAAAAAAGTGATAACATAAGCTCCAAGGAAGAGCCAAAGAAAGCAGAGCTGTTAAGATGCTTTGGAAATATTTACTTTATACAGAATGCCTGAGGGAAGGAGAAGGGAGGGGCTCACAACTCTTCTGTTCCTCCTCTTCCCATTTTTGAAGCTAAGTTTTTGGAGTACTTGTACTGTCAAGTCTACTTCACTCAAGCTGCATTACGGCCAGTGCTTACCAGTCCTTTTTATTATGATTTTTCATCTTCTTGATTTAATGGTCTGTTTTTTCCTTGCAAGTGACTGAAGCTTTTATATGAGATAACTTTGCTTTCTCTCAGACTAAAATGATTTTACTGTATTTGGGATATGCTGATTACTATGAATTGCATTTGGGTGATCACCTGTTCAGTGTCTTCTTAAACTTTCACTTTGAGCAGCTAGTCTAAGTAGAAAATTATTATGTTAAAAATTAATGCTACAAATTTGCATGGCACTGAGTTGCACGTATACTTAAAACTGATAATTCCTTTAGTGTGGTCATATTGGATAATATGCTGTTAGTTGGGTGCTTGGACATCTCCCTATCTTCTGTCCATGGTTAGTGTCTGTGTATGTTTGGTTAAGTCTTACATGATGAAATTGCTAATAAATATACTTTTTTGCATCCTAGTGCATGCAGTTCTTTCAAAGCATCTAAAATGCTAAGAATATAAAAATATCTTTTTGTTTTGCTGTGCAATCCATTGAAAATTTAGGAAAAAAATCATTATTGTGTATATTTATATCTCCTACAGAGGAACAAATGTATTCACATGAAAAGTAAATAACTCTGGTTATTAAATGTTGGTATTCAGCATGTAGGTCAGCAGCTGCATCATGAACATGAAAGGATTACTGACAAGTTTGATCCTAAACCCAAAAGGTTTAATTTCTAACATCAATTAGCTTTTTAAGTCCATAGGCCTTATTTTGTATTCATTGCTTGCAGTAGATTGGAGAGTTCCTGAAAATTGTGTTTGAGTGAGAGTCTAGGCAATGTAGAGATTGATGACAGCATGAAATAGCTCTGCAATTATGCTAAAGTCTCTTGGCCACAGGATATTAATGGTATCTCATGTGTCTGTTTGCTTTGATGATGGGCCAAGTGCTTCATACTGGTTGGGTTGGAATTTTTTGCCTAAATTCAAATAAAAATCAGGAACTGCAGAAAAATTGTATTAATACGCTATCCAAAAAGTTTGTCAAAAAGTATTAAAGAAAGTGAATTTGGGAATTTTGATCTATATTCTTAGTTTTTCAGACTGCTAAATCTGATTTTATCAAATGGGGAAAATAAACTATGAGTATCAGAAAATGCACACTTTGGTCTTAGCACTGTATCAGAGCTCTAAAAAGGATTAAACTGTTTAGAAGTGAAAAATTCAAACAAAAGCACCGTGTGTTGTTCAGTATATTTTCCGTGACACCATATATAGTATTTAGACTACTTAAGGAATTAAATGGTACTTAAAATACTTGAGGGAATTAAATTGCAAGAAGAAAGCAGGCAACAAGTTTTGGCAAAGGTTGCTTCCAAACCTTGGTGCATACACACCAAGCTTAAAGAGAGGGAAAGACAACAGCAGAGAGCTGTGGTCTACTTAGAGAATCTATATGCATTTAAATCCAGGGGCCAGGTGGGATTCATGTGAAATACCTTGATGGTATGTTGCTGTAGGTGAGAAGTTCTGATGATTGAAAGAGGTCCCAGGTGGCTGAAAATGGCTGATGTTGTGCCTGTCTTTAAGTGAGGACAACCTGGAGGGACTGTGGGCTGGTTAGCTTTGATCCCTGGAAGGGTGAGTGAACATCCTTCTGGAATTTCCAAACACATAGGGGACAGAAATATAGTTAGGAACAGTCAGCATTTATTTACCTTTTGTGTGTATCACCAGTATGATTGCCATCTGCAAGGAAGGTTTAGAACATCATCTCCCACAACATTCTCCTTTGGAAGCTGCGGAAATACATGCTGAAGGACACGCTCTTAGATGGGTTGAAAACAACCTGAAATGACAGGTTGAAGTGATATTAATCGTGGTATTTGCTACCACAAGTTAGTGGTAATTGATGGTACATGACATCTGTGGGGCAGCCATTGACAAGTAGTATGTTGGGAATTTGAAGCTGATGCTGAGTACCTGGCTGAGTGATGAGCTTTCACCCCAGCTTACTTGTTCAGTGGGCCAAGAAAATCGCAGACAGATTTCTGTAGGGTAGCTCAGAGGGGCTGGATACTGTTTCTGACTATTTATCACTGTTATGAATTATATCTGATATGGAAGTAAATGTTTTTAAGAAGGATTTTATTATTTAAGCATTTGATTAAGGAAAAAAACCACAAATCTGTGTGGATAATTTGATGTAATGATTTTCAAGTTAAACTTATTAGGACATCAGGACACATTACGCCAATAGTGTACAAATCAATCATCAGATACCAGAATTATCTGGATAGTTCCTTTCTGAATGTGTAGTTTTCCTATATTTATTTCTACTCCTTGCATACTGCTCACATTCTTTTGCTGAATGTCTTTGACACTGATTTGCATTACTTGTGTGTAGATGTGGTTAATCCTGTTATGCAAAGAGTAGTTCAACTGACTTAACTTAAGGCCTCAGGAGAGATCCTCTGCTTTGACTACATTTTGTACTTGTCCTGATGAAGACTCTGAAAAAGAATCGTGTTGTATAGCTCTAAATTAAACTGTAAGACCTTACAGTTCAATGTGGCTTGAGGATTAGCTTTATATGCACTGATCCTAGTTCACTCTTGTGTCTCTCTGAATTTCCTGCTTACTAGCAGTTTTCTGTTTTGTTCTAGCTCATTTACTAGGTTGCCTCATCTCGCAGGAACTGAACAGAATCTTATTCTTGCCAAACAAATTCAAGGCCAGTGGAAGGAATTTGGATTGGATTCAGCTGAACTTGTTCATTATGATGTGCTTCTTTCATACCCAAATGAAAAGCAGCCAAACTACATCTCAGTAATTGATGATCAAGGGAATGAGGTGATCTTTTTAATGACAAAACTGTATTTATGTAAGACTCCTTTAAAAAAACAGTTCTTCCTCTCTTTGCCCACCCATTCAGCTCAGCAGGTGCTTGCTATTACAATAAAAAGTCCAATGCAAAGAGAACTCATATTTAGAAATGGTTTTGCAGGCTATGCAGTAGCACAGCAGAATGGCTGTAATCTCAGTGCCTCATACAGAGGAGAGAGGATGTGTGAAGAGGCTGCAATTAAAACTAGTAGACCATAAAATGTTAGAAGGGTTCAGCTTAAGGATACATCTAGGCCGATATCCTGTTTCCATAAACAGCCTTAAGTGGATGCACAGGGCTGCTTAAAACAAAGAAATGTATTTCAGTCATGCAATTCTTCCAGTGTCTAGCTGTTTTCAGCTCAGGCATTCTCTGAATGTGCTGTAATTAGTCTCTTAAAGAATCCTCATTAGGCCTCTTTTCCAAGTATTTATCCAGTCAGTGACCCTTGTTAGATCTCTCTTCCAAGTACCTATCCAAACCCTGCACAATTTTTGCTTCCACAACATGCTGAGGTAAGGAATTAGAGATACTATTGATTGTATGAAGTACTACCTAGTTTTCCTTGCTCTGAACCTGATCCCATTGTCTCCCTATGGTGTTTTCTAAGTGTTAGAAGTACTAATGAACTAGTCAGTCTATAGACACCTTTTCCCTTTTGAACATCCAGGGAAATAAAGAAGTAGATGTAAAATCTGACAAGGAGCCTGAGTAAGGAGAGGAGATGAGACTGCTAGAGAAGCATCATAGCACAAAGGTAGGGATGAAGAGACATGGTAGAAACTAAGGAATATGTGCTCAGGATGACACGAGCTTAGAGGTGAAAGAATGAAGTAATTTTTCAAGACACTGTAACAATATCTCAGTTATAATCTCACAAGGTGATACAAAGCGGACGTGAACCTTAAGGCAACCAAGTTAAGCGTTACAATATATAGTGGTAAAGGGCAGCACATTTAACTGGAGCATAGCTAGCAAAGACCTGAAGAGAAAAAGAATAATACAGGTGGAAATAACCACAAAAAAAATACCTGGGATAGCGTGGATGAACTAGGTGTCTTTTTTTGTCACAAGCGCTTGGCAGTTTTCAGCTACTTCTTATCTTAGGTTCAGGCAGTGACTGATGGGCATCTTCTGACAAGCGATCTGTCTCTTTGTATTCATATCTGCATTCTGTTACAAAAGTTCAGCTCTGGATGCCTCTCTGTGTTTTTGTTTGAACTTATGCATGCTAGTTAGAATTGTATTTTTTGCTAGCAATTTATGGAAACTAGCATATGGTTTGCACACTTAGCATTTGCTTAGTGTGCGAATTTGTGCCTGGAGTGTTTAAACGAAGACTTCTGTTATTTATTGGTAGGTTTTCAATACGTCATTGTTTGAACCACCTGCACAGGGGTACGAAAATGTTGCTGATATACTGCCACCATATAATGCTTTTTCAGCACAAGGAGTGCCAGAGGTAAGAAAAAAATTATGCAAGAGTACTATTAGCTGAAGTCATATTTTGTGAGTGTCCCTATCTCTAACTTGCTGGGACAGATTGCTCCAACTTAATATTTTTGTAATAGTTTTAATTAACCATTTGTGTTAATTAGGGAGCACTTAAGCACAACTAGGCCGCATATTGTACAAAGGTTAGAAGTCTTTTGCAACCAAAAAAATAAAACTTCCTCAAATTGCTAGAACTCTGAATCACATAATATGTGAAAAGTTTTTATCTTGATGAAAAATTTTGGATACATCTCAGATTGCTCCAGATTATTCAATCAAATGGAGAGGACCTGCTTAAGGCACAAGTAGAATTAGCAATATATAAATCAGATTGGAAGACATTTTGAACTAAATGAATGCCTTCAAAGGCCACAAAAGTCCCTCACTTATCTGCTAATCCATTATGGAACAGGTCAGGGACAGCATTGCATTGCATAAATGAATGAAATTATGTAATAGTGAATGTTTGCGTATGCAAGGTATACCACTATTTGTCATGGCCAGAGAAGTTTGTCAATTTAGCAAAGTACGTTGTTTTATTTTCCAGCCTCAGATTTTAAGGCTGTTGTTAAGGGCAGGATAATTTACAAAGGTCAGCCATTTTAAGCCAAAGCTTCCTATAGAATATTGCAGATATATTTTACTATTGTTTTTATGGGCACTGGACCTAATTTTCAGAAATGCCAAGAAACCCCAAAACTATATCATACACAGTGAATGAAACAGTGTATTTCTGATGATGGGTATTTCCCCTGTTTATTGACCAGTTGCCATGACACTGCTTTTCTTTCCTGTGCAGGCAGATCTGGTCTATGTGAATTATGGTCGTACAGAAGATTTTTTTAAGCTGGAGCGTGAAATGGGAATTAACTGTACAGGAAAGATTGTCATTGCCAGATACGGGAAGATCTTCAGAGGAAACAAAGTAAGGGTTGTGTTTTAATTTTTGCTCTGTGGGTAAGACTGTTCATGACAGAGCTGGAGGGGGTTAGTGATGGCTCTGAGGTGGAATATATGAGCAGAAGGAAGCCTGCAATGCACCCATTGTGACTGCAGTCTAATAACTTCCAAAACAATAAAGCCATATATATTAAACTCCTGAGACTGAGATGACTGCAAACTCCCTAGGCAGTTCTTGCAAATGTTAGGGAATTGAGTAGTTTGTAGAGCCAAGACTTTTGATACTTTTCATCCACAAAATTGTAGCATTTTGAAATAGTAATTATTTTACAAGGAGTCTGATGCACAGAAACTGAATAATTGTATCTTCTAACTTTAGACAACAACTGACAAAACTGATGACAGTGGGGCAGTGAGGATAATGGTCAGTTCTTGCGCCTCAGTTTTATGTCCTGTACTTTATTTCATAGCCTTGAGCTGTGACTAAATGTATGACACAAATAACAAACAGTATGTTTTACTGTGGTTTGTCCTTCTGCTGAATCTGGGGTAATTTTCACCCTACTACATAAACAACTTCTAAAACTATGTCAACATGGAAGCAACATGCAGATTTATCACTGCATTGACAAAAAAAAAGAAGAAAAAAAAAAAAAGAGACATTTCTTAAAAGCAAGTAATTTCACAGGTTAAAAATGCCATATTAGCAGGAGCCCAAGGGATCATACTTTATACAGACCCTGCTGACTACTGTGCCCCAGGAATAGATGCTTATCCAAGTGGCTGGAACCTTCCAGGTGGAGGAGTCCAGCGTGGGAATGTATTAAACCTGAATGGAGCTGGGGACCCTCTAACACCAGGTTATCCTGCCAAAGGTGAGTGAAACTTCTGTAACCTGGGCCATCAAGTACTTTATAAACTGGTGCTGAAATGTGGCACTAGACATTCATTTATTTTCAATAGAGATGAAGAGAAAAAAGCTGCTAGAAATTATTTTTAGCAGTAGTTAATTTTCCTATTGCAGACTAAGTTCTGCCTGCATACCATTCTAATTGCTTGATTTTAACTTTGGTGGGGAAGGAAAGCTTTTAGGAAAAAAACTTCAGGAAAATCTCTTGGTTTGATCCCAGCCTTATAACTCTTAGAAAAGCAGGATGTGATCGTTTACAGACTGTGAAGCAGCAGGAAATGACTGAGAATTTCGAACCATTTTTAATATCTGTGTTTCTCAAGATGACCAGTTTAAACTAGATTATACTCTACCATCAAAGAGGACTAATAGCTTTGCTTGGAGGTATATTTTCTTTCTGATCGTAAATTCCAAGCAGAAAAGCAGTTTAAAATCCCCCTTACGGGGAGTAAAATTCTTACAGCAAAAATAACAGGCACCTGGAGTCTTTGAAACTTTGGCACAATATACTTGTCTTGTCCTTGTTGGCATCCTAAACTTAATCTGAACTAAGACGCCTACTAGTGCTGTCTGCTGATGGCATGGGTGTACAGGGGTGCTTCTGGAAAGCTTGTGTGAACGGTGTCGGGGGCATAAGACAGCCTGCTGTAAAAACAGGATAGGTTGTTGTCGTGGTTTTGCCCTGGCTCAATTTACTTTTATACACCCACATACAATTACTACTAGTTGAGAGAAGGTTTATGCAGACAAAAAGAGACTGAACTGAAAAAAAAGTATGAGTATTTATTATTAACAAACTAAAACTAAAGAATTATATCTACTTAAGTAAAAGGTATTATGTATTTACAGAAGATACTTCTCCCCCCACCTCCCTTTATATCAGTCCAAGGAGGAGAAGCAGTCCTTTTCCATTCTCGGAATTCCAGCTCTCTCCCTCCAGTAACTCTGCAGCACTTTCGTCGCAGTTGGAACTTCTTTATCTCTCTCTCTCTGTGTTGGCCTCCAGGGTTGGGCCTACCCCCCTCCTGGGTTAAAACCGAAGGCTGAGGGTTACCCAGGTCCTGAAGGGTCTCCTTCCATAGGCTTGCAAGGGGACACTTGCTTACTATGGATCTTCTTCCACAGGGTTACAGGGGATAATGGTTTAAGAGTTCACCCCTGTTTCCCTAGGGAGGTCCCTCCCCATGGGAGAACAGTCCTTGATTGACTTCTCGGCATGGGTCTAGTCTGGATCCTTTACTCGGATCCCAATATCCCACCTGAGCCATTTTCTGCTCCAGCGTAGGTTCTCTCTAGCACCAGCAGCACGGATCCCACACATGGATCCCAACATCCCTACCTGAACCGTTTGTGTTCCAGCGTAGGTTTTAATACCCATCAGGGTCATAAATCTTCAACAGCAGCAGCATGGATCTCTCACTGAGATCCCAAGCTTATCTGAGCCGTCTCGCTCCAGCATAAGCATCGATCCCTTCGAGGGTCACAAAGTCTTTAACAGGATTCTGCCTCATCTGAGCCGCTTTTACTCCAGCACAAGGCTTTCTCTCTGTTAAAGTCACAAATCTCTGGTGCATCCACAAACTCCTCTGTGAGCCGCATGGGGGTCTCTTCACCCCAGTAAACTTCTACAGGTGGCAGGGTTTTATTTTTCAGTCTTTACCCTGCTGAAGGGAGGGAGAGCGAAAAGGAGAAAAAGCAGCTCTCCCCCCTTCGAACTTTTCTTCTCTCTTTTGCGACTGCAGCTTTGACCTTGAAAGTCTTGTTATCTCATGGCTGGAATTCTTCTGCAGCGGTTTCTCATTTAAGCAGTTCGTCTTTTAAACTTTTTTTTTCTTCACTCTCTCACAAGAGAGAAGGGAGGCTTCAGTACTACACCTGCCCCCCCGGCCCAAGCCGGGGGAGGAGGGGGCCTTGGCCCTCCTCGGGCCCACCGCGTCTCTCCTACATGGCTGCTGCTCCTAATTTCAACTGCACCACAACCTTCTCTTCCGTTTTCTTAAAGATGTAATTAGCAAAGGCGTCACTGAACTTTTTGATTGGTTTTTTTGTCCGGAAATCACCTGGACAAAACCATCCTCAGCCCCAGGGATGGGCTGGTGCGCAAAACCACGACAGTTGTGTGCGTCTCTCCCACCAGACTCAGAGAGACATTGCCTGTCTTCAACACAGGCAAGTGTATCAGGGATGTCTTCTGCAGCTTGCCAACCGCCTGCACAGGTGCCATCTTCACCTCGCACACCAGATTGGTTTTCCCACAGTCAGCTTTGAGGAGATGTAATAATATGGATGGACAGCAAATCTGAATGTGGAGACTTTTGCACAGTTGTGCAGATGCATTACCGGGCTTGTGGTTCTGTCACTGCAGCTTGGTTTCCTAGAAGTAATATCTGAGAAATGATGTAAGAATTGAAAAGAATGATGAATGCCTGCGGCTACTCTGTGGCTGCACTGTTCAGTAGTGTTTCCAGTCTGGTAAAAGTTGCTAAGAACACTATAAACTTGACATTTTGTTCTGGTTTCTCAGAGTACACTTTCAGGTATAAAGTTAATGAAGGTGTAGGAATTCCCAAAATCCCAGTTCACCCCATTGGATATCATGATGCAGAAGTATTATTGAGGTGAGTGTACATCAGTCCTTCTCACTCATAAGTCAGTATTGACATAAGCACAGACAGATTTTTTTATACTAAGATGGTAAAATCTCTGCTGCTATTGGCATTCATACTACTCTTTTGTAGTAAATGTGTATTTCAGAAAATGTGGAAAATTCAAAACAACCTGTTTCTGCAATAATGATTTTAAGAATTTTGTAAACACACCTTGGGTTTGCTGCATTAATTGTTAAGGGAACTTAAGATTTTGCAATAATTGTTAAGGGAACTTAAGATTTTTAGGCTACTGATCAACTGCATTTGTTTTGGTTTTCACTCTACAGTGCAATGGGAGGACCTGCAGCTCCAGACAGCAGCTGGAAGGGAAATCTCAATGTGTCTTATAACATAGGGCCAGGATTCACAGGCAACTCTTCTACAAGGTCTGTTTTAACACTTAGTGTTTGTAAGATATTGAAAAAAATCCCCACAAGAGAAAGACTGTGAAACAATACACCTAGAGATATTCTGGAGAAATTTACTTCCTTCTGGGTGGGCTGAACTTGATGATAATTTTTAGAATTTGAAAATAAAGTAGATAATAAATGATGGTAAGTTAACAGACCAAGACACATGACAATGGCATTTAGCAATAATTTACAATAAAGCAAAAGAACATTTTTCTATGACTTTTCCACTCAAAAAATAATTTCAGTTTACATGAGGTATCATTCTATGAGAACTGGTAGTGGACCACATTGAACAGTGTGTAAAAATGGTATATCATTATCATAACCCAATATTCTGAAAAACAGGAGTATGTCTGAAAATATAATTTTATAGACTCCATTTACCATTATTCTTTCCTTCTCTGCTTTAACACTAGATGAAAATGAATGAAATATGAATGAATAAATAAATAAGGAAGCATATTTGACATAATTATGTGCTGTTTGGAATATCTTGAAGAGCAACAATGAGAAAAGGATGGGATTCCTCCACAGAAGTCATACATGCAAAATATTTCTGAATGCCCTTCTTAACATCTTCCTACTTGTGAGGGTCACACTTTTAGTAAATATGGTCTAATCCTATATAGTCCTTTCTCAGAGTAGCTCCATATCAAAATGAACCTTTTGAGTCTAGGGGAAAGTCACTTGCATGTGGAAAGTGTGCAAGTATATGCATGTTCAAAGCACTAGAGTCAGTTATTTCCTGGGCAAAGATCCAGTGGCTGTCCTGAAGTAGGTTTTGATTTTGACAGCTATGCAGATTTGCTGCTGAAAAGATAATTTCAAATGTGAAATTCTAGAGGTTTTGCCAGATCCAAAAAAAGCATTGTTTGGTGCTTTGTTTCTTTTACAGATTAAGAGGGCTGAATATTGCATTATTTTTATCTCTCCTAAAACCTGGATTTCCTTTGCTTTTATAAAATTTCACAAGTGGAATTTACTGGGGAGGAGCGGGCAGGGATGAAGGGTTTTTAGTGGGGGGGGCAGAGAAAAAATAAACTGTACTTCTAGTAGAAGGTTCCCTGCCTCTAATGGAAGGTTCCCTGTCCATGGCGAGGAGGTTGGAACTAGATGAACTTTAAGGTCCCAGAAAACCCAAACAATTCTACAATTCTACAGTTGACAAATCTTGGTCACTTAGATCTGCTGTCCTAAACAGAGATTTCAATTTATTCCTGGATGAATATTCCTAATGACCTTTCCTCTGCATTCTCTCTTGGAATTCTGTGGAATTGTGCTAGAAAACCAAAATGTATTCTTTATAAAAATATATATATCCACAACTATAATTTTGGTCAAAATATAAATGTATTTTTAATTACTGTGCATGCTTTTCAGTTTACTCCTCTAGTACTCAGTTGTTTAATTGATTCCCACACATAGAAGTTCAATAAATTATGTAAATATTTGCAAATTTATAGATTGGCTCACTTAATAGGATTGTTTCTAAGGCATCTTACTGTCAGCAGGTAATGCTGAAATAAAAAATGGAACACTGAGACAAATGAACACATATTAGATTAGTGCTGAATGCACAAAGCAGAACAGAAGCACAAACTCTTTGGCTTATATGTTATTAGCATTGGATTTTTATTGGCTTCTCAGTCAGAAATGATTACTCCAATACTGCCTTTCATTACAGAAAAGTCAGAATGCATGTTCATACAAGCAATAAAATAACACGAATTTACAATGTCATTGGCATCCTCAGAGGAGCCGTGGAACCAGGTGAGCATCAGGTGCTTGATGATTTTAATTCCTTCCTTGTTTTGTGTTTAATGAAATTGTTCTCATGTTGTAAGAAACTTGAAGTTTTTTAGATTGCCAGATAATATGGAGTCTGAGTAATCCTTAACAGTTGCTCTCTCCCTCTCATTACAGTGTTTATCACAGGCATTCCCAACAATAAATTTGAATGGGAATACTAGAAAGATAGATGTCAGAGAGCATTTTTATAATGCCTGTCATTTTACAGTAGGCTTTCACCTTACATCATCCATACATTTTGCCTTTGAAAAATTAACACAATGCAAAGTACAGGAAACTAGTGATGATTTGGGACCTTAAGATTCCACTATTGATACTTAGTAGCAGATCATAGTCATGAAAGACCCTTAGGTGGAAAAATATGTGTTAAATATTTCTTGTCTTCAGTTGTATATCTCAGTAGAGTAAGTGACTGATTGCAGATTAACTTAAAAATAAAATTGTACCACTGGTATTGAACTTCAGATTTTGTTTGATATAAGTAGGGATTCAGTCAAAGGAAACACCAAAGGTAACCCAAGTGTATTTTTAATTATGAATTGATATTGTATGCTTGTTTCCAGACAGATATATTATTTTAGGTGGTCACAGAGACTCTTGGGTATTTGGTGGTATTGATCCAACAACGGGTGCAGCTGTTCTGCAAGAAATTGTACGGAGTTTTGGTAAAATGAAGATGGAAGGTAACAATTATTACAGACATAGAATGATGGGTATGGAAAACAGCAGCTTTGAGGAACAGTGTCCCCATAAGCTGTTGTAGTTATTTAACTTTTCACTTCTAAAGGAAGTTTTATTTCTAATTATGAAAGATGCAAATTTGTTGAAGAGGTGCGTATGTAGCATTGCATCTTAGTTGGCTGAATTTATTTCTTCATCAGTGTAATAGGACCCTCTTAGTTGTGCAGAATGAAACTATTGCAATAATATGTTCCTCTAAGGAATTCAGAGACGATTTTTTTTACTGTTATATCAGTTAAGTGATATTTTTTAAAGCAATTTCAATTAACTGTGGTGATCTTTTACTAGACGTTCAAATTTTAAGTTGAATTTTCAAGTTTAACTATGTGATTGCAGGTTGGAGACCTAAGCGAACTATTATTTTTGCAAGCTGGGATGCAGAAGAATTTGGATTATTGGGTTCCACAGAGTGGGCTGAGGTAAATAAAAAGAAGTGTAAAGTAAAGTAAAACTTGAAAGGGTATGCAGGCAGCTGCAGTACCCAGCATATTCCTAGACTGCAGTCAAGTGCTTCATGGTAAAATTGGAGCACAACAGGCTCCTTTGGGTGCTGTCAGGCACTCGTGTATTTATATCAATTGCCTACTTAACTTCTTACAACATATGTGCTCTGACTCTTCTAAGATTTAAAAATCTACTTTGATTCAAAACTAATGTCCCTCAGTGGTCTCTGTGTGGAAATCTATCCCTTCATTTAACAGAATTATAGCATTTTATGTAATGCAAATTGGTCTGTTTTCTCTCTATTTGAGAAATTCCTTGGTTTCTATACACTTAAGTTCAGATCATGAACCTGTGATCCATAAGCACTCCAAGCCCTTTGTATGGAAATCAATCCTCCTGGGCAAATGAAAGGGTAGATAATCTGTGAGTGAATATTTCGAAATTCCTGTTAATTCCAACATTGTAGCGTCTCAGGGACAGGACATCATAGAAGGATGTTGGCAAATTCAGAAGTAAGGTTCTGATTATTTTTCTCTCTTTTTCCTATTGGACATGTTCAATTCTTAACCTTGTAAGTGGATTTGTTAAACCCCAAAAAGAATATAGGTATTATAAGAGTTGTCATTGCTTTGTCTGTAAAATCCAAATTGGAAATAAAGCAGGCAGAAAATTGCCTAAAAAACCATACTTCTGCTGAACTATTTCCATTTATTAGTACTGAACAGTGTTGTCTTTTTATCCTATTAGAAATTTATTTACAAGGTAATATTTGGATATGTGGATACAGCTTTCAAAATCTATACAATAAAACATTTTAATCTTTTGAGTTTGGTTTATTGTCATTTATTTCAGTAAACCACAAAATTATAAAGCAAAATGGTATGTGTCAGAGGAGGGAACAAACCCAGAAATATGCTCTCAAACACCAAAGAGACTCCATCATTCTGTGAGCAAAGCTGAGTTTTCTATTCCTATGAATTTGCTCTAATTCTTTCTCCCATAAACTGTTTGACTTCTAACTGTAACAGAGTCTCTGCATCTTACTGTTGGTTTTTGGGACATTAGATGAAGAAAGAATAATTTAAATTATTTTAAATTATTTACTGAGAGATTTTAAAGAGTTGTCATTAAAGTATTATCCCACCTGTATATAAAACTTTATTTATTATTGCTTTGTCTACATATCTATGCACATATTTAGATGCTGTCCAGAAAAAAACCCACACAATTGTTTTAACAATCAGGAATATGAAAAAATCGTACTTAAAAGATCAATTTCTCTTGAGTAAGTCATGAATAAATTAGGAGTTCTTCTTATGCTCGATTTGTTAAATATTGCTACTACTATTCTGTAAATTTTTTGCTTAATAATTTGGTATCTAGTAATGTATAACTCATTATTTCATGAAATGACAGCTGTACAAGGTTAGAAAACTATAAGCACAGTTCATATTTGAACCTCAGTGTTTTGATATTATTGTTTCCTTGCTTTATCTTGGTGGTGTGCATTACTAGTTTTTTACAACTAAACTATATTCAGTTTCTCTAGAGACATTCCTCACAGCTTACATTCCCATTTTCTGCGGCTGCCAGATTTGTCATGTATTAAATCTTGAGGAAAATTAACCCATGATATTCACTGCCTTCTGTGTAACAGAGAGACTGCAACTGTGGCAACATCCTTTTGTTATACAGACAATCTCCACTGCTTATAAATGAAGGAATTTCTTTATGCTGCATTAATATGACTTTGCAAGGCCTCATGTATGCATGTACAGGCTTGCTCCCTCTCTTCATATTCTTTTGTGGGATCTCTTCTACTGTTTCTTAAAAGATATTAATGTCATTATGTAGTTATCAATTACCAATTCAATTTTTAGTTCACATGACTTACAAATAAATAGTTGGGTTATACATTGAATGAATGGAGTAACAATTACTAACCTAATTAAAATATCTGTCACAAAGCCAAGACTTAATAAAATACTGCTTACAGATTAGAATATCAATTCAAACATAATTACAGGTTTGCAAAAAATTCAACAAGATGTGTGTATATATTTAGCATGAAAGCAATTCTTGGTGGACTCAAAATAGTCAACTTCATTTTAATAGGGAATTTTTGTGCTTTGACTTATCCCTTTCTGAAATGGAATAGTGTAGAAATGACAGCAGTGCTCAGTTCATCAGTGTTAAAATTGAGTTTAGTGCTGGGAGCACACATGAATAACCAGGAATTAAAAAGCGTGGAGGAATTCTGGCTGATCTCATAGTCACGTTTCATGTTCAAAAAGTCCCAAAGTGCAGAGTTAAAAAGCATGTAGAGCCTTATTTTATCATGTTACAATTCTGTTCAATAATTTTCATGTTCCATCTTGCTCCTGTGTGATGCAGCAGGCAGAACCTTTATTTTGTGGATGTTTTCCACAACAAATTAAGTCCCAGAAAGCAGGAGTGAATTTCATATGCCCAGATCATTTACCCATCTTCAAACAATATAATTGGTAAGGTACATAGTAGTATTTATCCTGACTGAGTTCTTAAAGGCAGTGCTGTAAGAAAGAGTGCACTTAACATGCTTTTGACCAAATGTCACTAACTGAAAGTAATGATTACACATTTACAACCTCAGGAAAATGCCAAAGTCCTTCAGGAACGGGCAGTTGCTTACATAAACACAGATTCTTCTATAGAAGGTGAGTCTTTTATTTTTAAATTTACTTTACTTTCCATGCAAAATTTTTAATAGTTTTCTCTGTATTATTTGTTGCATTCAGAGCTGGAAAACATAAGATAGCTATTGTGATGTTCAGAATAAGTGTAGTAAATACAGAATTTAGTGGAGAGAGAAAACAATTTAAATTCTTGTGTTGCTTTCTTTTGCAAATAGTGCCACCCATGAGCTGCAGCCCATGTGTCTAGAGTCCAGAATGTCTCCTCTGGTGGAGTATTGTGTTCTGTGTTGATTAACTGAGCGTTCTGTATGTTAAACTTTCTCTTAGCTGCATTAGCTTTTATTTGCAATTGCGGTTTTGATATATGACAGTCTGCTCCTTGCTCTGGTCACAGCTCCAAGTCTTTTCCCTGTGGAATTATAATATTTTCAGACACTAATTTATTATGTTTATAAGACAATTTGTGTTGAGACCTTAGGTTTACACTTGATGGGGGTGGGAGATGATTTAGTGCTTTGGGCCAGTGTGGTCACCTTTGTTCATTGCTATGATCAGGGAGTTATACATGTATTACAGCAGAGCTCTTCTTCCAAAATAAGCAACGAATTACAAAAAACCTTATCCACCATTATTTAATATACTATGTTATTCAGACTGTAAGAATCTGTCATTGAGGAATGCTACTTACAAACTGGTGTTTTTGGGGAGCTCTACACTACAACTTAAATCACAAAATCCTTCTTAAAATATACTGGGCTTTATCACAGAAGGACCTCCTTTACTGTTGTTTTTGCTGAAAGAACAGTCAGAAGAATCCTGTGAAGCTGCTCTGCATCATAACCTCAGTTATTCAAGGCATTAATATTCCCATGTCAAACCCAACTTATTTGGGCTTCCTGTGTGGGAATAAAATGGTTATTAATAGGTATATTTAAGAACTTTTTTATTCCTGTTAGCTGAAAATTTTGTTCATCACAAAAGGATTAGAAAGAAAGAAAAGCCAAACCCAGGTTCTAAATGCTCAGTTGGAGCTGGGGAATAAGGAGGGTTAGAGCTGTTCCTTCATTTATGCAACCTACATGCTGTGTAAAAAGTAGAGCAGAATTTCACGCCTAGAAGATCTCATAGATGAAATAATAGCTTTACAACTGCTTCAGATTCTCAGCATGGATTGTAACACATATTTTTTAGTTGGTTTGCAGCCAGCATACTGCTCTCTTAACAATTTTCTTCTAAATCTTGATTATTCAAACATGTCTCTTGCTTTATGCATTAAAGAAAGTATGAAAGTAAAACAACTGGAAAAGAAATATGTAATAAGGAAAAGAACACCATGTTAAGTGCAGTGGTTTAAGTATCTTGGATATCTTTCACCTGACTGAGCAGTAAAATCTGCTGTAAAGTCATAGCATTCATATACGCTGATGATTATTTTGTTTATCATCAAATGTTTTCCACAGCACTTCTTATATCACATTTTGGACAGCAAATTATTTCTCTTTATTTTCTTATAGCAATGAAAAGAAGGAGAGGGGGGTCATCATTTTGAACAGTTTTGTGACTTGGATTTACAGTTCTCAAATACAGATTCCTTTTGGAAACATCATTAACATTATGTAGTATTTTTCCATCATCATGGACTTTTTTTGTAATTGTCAGTCTAGTCCTAGAATATGATATGTAAGTACACACTGTGCAAAGTGTGACCCAAGATCTAAAGCCATAACGAAACCTAATAAGTGATAACTAATTACTAACAATAACAATAACTTAATAACTGTTATCTGAGAGCTTGTGGGTTTTTTTATGTTCTCATCCCTGTTCTCTTCTTTGTTGTTGTCTGTATTTGAGGGTAGAAGTGTTTCCTCACTGCTCTCCGGTGGCTGCAGTCTATAGAGAAGACTGTTTTACACTCATGCCTCTCCCAGAAATGGCCATAGTTTCTTTTTGATGATGGTCTTGCTGCTGTAGCTGAGAACTTTGCTTTGTGATACTTACCAAGCCCAACACAATCTGCCAGCAGCATGGAAACCTCGTGGGGGTAAAGGGCAGATGCCACCATGTGGTGATAAAAGGGGAGGTTTAGGAGACAGCAGATGGAAACATTGCTCTGCATCTTTTTTTTTGCCTTCTATTTGGGCTAGACTTAGTTCTGAAATATAAAATGCCAGATACCTTGCAACTCTCTTAGAAGATGACCTGCCTTGTAGATACAGTCTGCAAAAGCACTGAAAAAGTGCTCTCTATGGTAAGAAAAGTAGCTGAATTGAAAGATTTCTTAAAACATCTTGTAGCGAATATCTTTTCTCTTGCACACTTCCTGAGCACTAACTTTATTTTTAACATCTTATTTTTTGCCTTCTGTTCAACACAAGCTTCAGGAAGCGTACGAGTGACGAGGACTTGTAGCTAATAAGGGATAGTTAGGCGTATTTTAGAACTATGGGAAGGCTTAATTACGTTCCTGTGTATGTACTATAACTAATCCATCATTGTCGTGCAGTGGCAGGAGCTTATACAGTGTGACCAAGTAGTCTATTTCTGTATTTATTCTGAGGCAAGATCTAAATTCTTGCCTTGGAGTCCAGAAGTTTATCTAAGAAAGGACTGCAGGGTTTAATCAATTACGAAGATAATGCCAGTGGTACATGAAAGGAAAATTTCCATGTCTTTGTTTTATTTTCAGGCAATTACACACTAAGAGTTGACTGCACCCCTCTTCTCTACAAACTGGTGTATAATCTGACAAAAGAGGTACAGAATCAGTGTCTACTATTTCTGACTTTTTAAGAATGTAAAACTGTAAGTTTATTGGATGAAATAGGATTATTGAATAATATTGGATTTATTTTATTGCTGTGCTGTAAGAATCTTGATCCTACCAAATTCAAAAACAAAACATCCCATCAGCAGTACACAGTCCATGCTCACAGTTCCTCAGTATTCTTAAAGGTTGAAATGTGACATAAGTGGAATCTTATTTTCAATATATAGTAAAAGCAATAATAACATAAACAAGATGATAAAACACTTGAGCAAGATCAGTTCTCTAAAATGATAAGCATTGAAGAAAATAATTTTCACATTGGCTAGCTACCATTTTCTCTCTGTCTGTTCCCCCAAATCTCCTTCATATCTCGCTGAGCCTTTGAAATATGTAATAAAAATTGAAGGATTGAGAGGCTTTGTAACAGGCTAGACGAGTATATTTGCATGATTACAAGTGGTCTAACCGTCTCCTTTACTTTCAGCTCTCAGAATAAATTATCATAAGGCTGAAAGATTGTGATCCATTAAAGCATGGAACTTCCTTGGCCATATGAAGTGTTAACCAGATTAGGCACCTAGCATGAGCCATTGCCACTATCCTCAGATCTGAATTCATCTCAGTTAACAGAACACACCTCTGACAGACTTAAGCAACACAGTCTCCCTTTAAAGGCAGTGGGTAGAAATAAGTGCCTTGAGGATGAGATTCATTTGACCAAATATGATTTTCCACCTTTGTGTGTACAGAACTCAAACTACTTTTTTTCCCCCTTATATGAAGGGAACTCAGGTGACTTGGTCCAGTGTAAAAATCTGAACTGTGATTGCACTTGGTAGGATGACCCCAGCTACCAGTCTCCCATCCCACTAGATGCATTCAACCTGAGTTATTTTCAAAAGCATTGCTCTTTTAAAACCTGAAATGCCATGGTTTGGATCTGGGGAGGTTTATCTATGCTATTCTATGATTTTCTTTTCTACATTTTATTTTCTTATAAATTCTTTCTACCTTAATCTTTTCTTTCATCCTTGCAGAGGAAGAAGCTGTTTATTCAAATGTTAGCTCTGACGCTTCGCACACTGCAGGGCATTCTCTTTGTATACAAAAATTTCCATGTCCTTAGTGTGTGGGTCCTGGATAAAATAATTTACTTTCTGTCTGCAGCAAGCCACTTACCCGGGAAGGCATTTTCCTGCAAAAGATAAACAAAGTTAAAAAAGGTGGTCTGGGCTAAAAATAGTACCTCACTCTTGATCATAAGTCAACTATTCAACTGTTGCTGATTTGAACAAAAAGATTTCCATTAAAGTACCATGCAAAGTACTTAAGACTGACTTAAAAAAATATTCTTGTTCTGTGTTATGTCAGATTTAAACTTCAGAAGCATGATGTAAACAATACAAAACCTGACACCTGATTATGCATGTCCAAAGGAAAGTTATTTCTGTTCATATTAAACACCCCAAAATCCAAAGATCTCTTTGATCTTCTTACTTTTTAGTGAGTCAATTCTCAACAAAGAGAGATGTAGTGTACATGTGAAGTACTGTCTTTCAAGGAGTTCTGCATTTTCGTGTGGTCCTCTGCATACAGATGGTACAATTAGGTGTTGACTGTCTTTGGCCTTGCTCCACCTCAAGGATATAGACATTTGGTCATCACCAGACGGTGTCTGCAATAGCTCAACTCCAATTCCTCTGTTCTGAATGTCACTGCTTCAGCTATACTTAAAGAACTCTGCATCTTCCTTGAGGTAGTGGGAAGCTTATGCTGATTCTAGATTTGGATATAAGGACAAATAGTATGTTTTACTGTGCTCTCAGTGTTGTATGAAGAAGCTGGGCAATGGTTTTTACATGGCCAGAGGTGTCAGAATAACACCTTTACCAGAGCATGGAGTGCTTTTGCTCCCATATGTCAGAGTTCAACTTGCACTTATTAACGTGCCTTTTCACTTTAGCCCTAGGACTTGACCAAAGTGCCCTGAAAATGACAGCAGCCAAGCAGTTATTTCACAAAGTTGTTATTTTTCTGCTAGCTGCTGACAAAATCTCAGAGGTCAGAACTCTTTGGATTTTCAAGTTGGAGTCTGTATGTTTTTCAATGCAGAATTTAAGTCTCAATAATATGGTGGGACCATGTATCTAGCCATGAACATTTACACTTTGTATTTTGGAAAAAAAATCCCAATTCTCTACACATCATAAACAACCTTATATTTAAAGGACCATGTCTATTAAAGGTTTTTTCAAGTGTAGATGGAGACCAAGGCTGGAGTCTTGATTTATTTTTACCTCTGCCACAGATTTTCTAAGACCTTTCGTCAACTAATTTTACACACTTTCATAGTTTTCCTAGCAGCACGGTAACTGCACTAATACTTACCTTTTCCATCATAGTTAGAGAGTTTTGTGGTTTTTTTGAAGGTAAGGGTGAGACCTGCATTTGTACATAACAATGTTTTGCATATTGATTCTCCAGTCTTGGCTGAGTCCCCTTGGCACTGCTGTAATATGACTGGTTTGGACCCCTCCTTTTAGGATAATTCTTTTGTAACTCTCCTATAGAAAAAGCAGACAAATTTTAGGTTTAGCCTTGTTGAGGGAACACTGCTGCTGTTCAGGGCAAACCTCCACAGTTTTATGGCTGTCATCTCCCCTTGCCTGCAGAAAGGAGAGCAGCTGGGGCATCCTGGCTGCTGGAAAGAGTCCCATAGTATTATATATGCTGTTGTGTGTGTACATACCCAGTGCTATAAGGTGGTAAGAAGTCCTAGAACCTGCTTCTTCCAACAGCAGATGAGTTCTAGCTAGTATCCCTGAGCCTTAACCTGCTTTTCCCTACTGTCTGTGGTTGGTTCCAAGTGCCTGTGAGATGCTTTTTGTTGTCAGGATCCATAAATATGTGCCACAAATGTAAACAGTGTACGTGTACTCCTCTGCATGCAGTAATTGGTAAAGAATGTTGCAGATGGCTGTAAAGGGCTCCTTTGGCAATGAATTGAGTTGGAGGTACTTCCAATGGGACTATAATATTTTCCTCCCCAGATTTTAAGCCCTGATGAGGGTTATGAAAATAAGTCTCTTTATGAGAGCTGGCTTGAGAAAGATCCTGGAACTGAAAATAATAGCTATCCAAGGTAAGATTTTAATATGATGTCTTTTTTTTTTTTTTTTCTCCCAATATTTTTATCGTATCATAGCATGGCTACTCTCCAGAATTTTTTGAGATGTGCTATTTATGACAGCGGTACAAAACCTTTTAGCATAAGGTGACTTTTTAGCAATATCTTTAATAGTAAAAAAAATTTTTTTAAACTATGGTTTAAACTATTTTAGCTATTATGAAATCTCATACTTTTAAAAGACCTTTTTGTTAGTAGAAAAGCAATTTGGAAAGCAATCAAAAAAAGCAGGGTGGGGAAAGAGATCAAAACATAGTTGGGTCACCAACTAGATCAGATAAAATCATTAGGATAAGCAAAGGCTCAGTTGAAAGAAGCTGCCTAGAGCAGTAATTAAAAAGTGACCATTAAAAAACTTGTGATAATTATTCTCTGTTTATACAATGTATATAAATATATTAAATTAAAAATCTATATATGAGGGTATTAAAAATTCATATTTGAAGGTACTTAAAATCCTAAACAGTCTTTTAGCCTGTGACTCAGAGGGCTAAATCTTTTTCACAGTGGAGCATTACTCACATAAGGTAAACAGAACTGACCCTTTGTGTGATTTGACCAAAATGTTCTGCATGTTTCTGGCCCTGCTAAGATGAGTTTCTGGCTTCATAAGACTCACTGAGATTTCTTCCTTTTGAAAAAGCTACCAGATCTGATCTTTCTCAGCTGATACAAATAGTTCCTTGCAGAAATTTATACTAACAGAAGAACTCCAACTGGAGCAGAAAAAATTAATTTTTTATCTGGGAAGCACCAATTATTCACCAGGTTAGAAGTATAAACCTAAAACTTAATATCAAACGTAAATATGTGAAAATACCTGGAATATTACACGTCTTTACTGCCATTTTCTCTCCCTGTCATGTCACATCTGCCCACCTGATGGCAGTAGTGACCCGTAGGTACCAATGCCGATCACTTTCTGCAGTGGAAATTATTTATCAGTCTGGGATTCTGCTGCGGAATGTGCCAAGTACATAAACACATCTGTCTTTACATATATTTCTGCCCGATTCGTATTAGTTTGGAAATAGCTGATTGATGTTCTAAGACGGCAGAGACATGTCTGATACAATTTTGTCTCCCATTCACAATGTGTTGTTTGTGGGGTTTTTTGTGTTTTTTTTTTTTTAAACGTGGCCAGTATCATAATCAGGGTTGCTACCTTCAAAAGATCTTCCTCGCAGCACTGACTACTGAATCAGCGTGTTGGAATAAAATCAGTTAAGTAATTAAGCTTGCCACTCATCTAGTCTCTGATCTTACCAGTGTCCCTGATGTGCCCTCCAGAAGAACTGACCTCAATTTCTCTGAAAAATCTGCATTTTGCATAAATTACTACCATACTGTTCAGTAAGTGCCTTCACTAAGATGTTTTTTTCTACATGTAGAATAAATAAACTGGGGTCAGGCAGTGATTTTGAAGCTTATTTTCAGCGACTGGGAATTGCATCAGGCAGAGCTCGTTACACCAAGAATAGGGTAAGTCTGCCAGATTGCTTGAAGAATTTTGATAGTGCTGAGCAGTCATCCTGTAACAGCCATTTATTCAGAATTAATAAACAAGCTTCAAACCATCTTTGACTTGTTTGTGTATCAGTGCCATTTCTTAATTTAGCAAGAAACCTAAATGTTTGTAGAAGAAAACACGTTACAGTGATGTTGTATATTCTATAGGATGTCAAGTTCACAGAAAGGTATTCATAGAATTTGATTGAATGTATGTAGTTCATTTCACCAAGCTATTCATAAGCTCTTTAATATACAAATCTTCCATGACTGTGTTCAGAAATAGCTACACAAGATAAAAAGGGGTGTGATTGAGGACTTTTGCTATCCAAAACCTCAAACTGTTTTCACTCTTGGTAAAGGCAATCTCTGTGCAATGGAACCGAAGGCAGGTTTGTGTAGGTAGAGAGAAAAAAGCCATCTCACTTAATTCTGTGCAACAATCCATGGATTCAGACTGGTTTAGTTTCTTAAGATAAACAAATAAAAATGAAAATAGAAGATCGTGTTGTGTAGCAAATAGCTTTTTTGTTTTGGAAACTGTCCGAAACATCATAGTCATTAAGTGATCAATACATCTCTTAATTGCAGTCAGAATACAGAGCACTGACAAATTTCCTCGATCTTTTCCAGAAAGCAGACAAATTCAGCAATTATCCTGTTTATCACACTGGGTATGAGACATTTGAACTAGTGGAAAAATTTTACGACCCCACTTTCAAGAAACAGCTAACAATTGCCCAGTTACGAGGCAAACTGGTTTATGAACTGGCAGACTCCCAGGTCATTCCATTTGACTGCAGAGATTATGGAGAAGCCTTAAAAGGATATAGCAACAGAATTTATAAATTGGCCAAGAAGCACGAAGAACAGCTGAAACTTTACAAAGTGTCATTTGGTGAGTAATAGCCACAAGACTGTCTCTTATGTGTGTTAATTAGAATCATGCTGGGGCATGTCATGTCTGTTACAGCTCTGCAGCTGAATTCCTTACTTTCCTGTTTGAATTTTGTCATCATAAGAAAGAGCCCCTAATTTCATGCATATTATTAAATACAGGTATTAAGGTGTTTATGGCCATTCAGGGACCTCAGATGCAGGATAAAGAGATATCTCAGCCTGCTTTTCACTTTCTTGCTTAAAAAAGAAGCTTAATTAAATGCTGACGGTGATTTCTTGTAAGCTGAGACACAGGTGCCTGCTCCTCCTACCACAAAGACTTCATCTGATCCCCAAGGAACTTGTGTACCATCTGCCTCAGTGCACGGCTACCATTTTTGGGCCACAGAAGCATTCCTGTAGCTCTTCTGCATTAATACATCCATTTGCTAATCACTTGAACACATATAAAACAGGTCTGAAACAGCAGAGTGCTCTGGATCCCAGGCTATGATGGCTTCCACAGTAATTTTCTTCTCTCTCTCTCTCTCTCTTCTTTTCCCCTTCTTGCCTTGTTCACCCCTTGTGTTTCTGTACCAATGAGATTTTTCAGTCAGTCCTAATTCATTTGCCATCTAATGGAGCAATAATATAGAGACATAAATGAGCTTTTTGGAGATGCAGTTCTCTTTTGGACTATGTGAAGCATTAGAAGTAACTCAAATTGAATCCACATTTGGGGAAAATTAAAATAACATTTAAAACTTCATGTAATGGTTTAGGTGAAAAATTCTTGGCTGTTTTTAAAAGACACCCCTTTTTGTAAACAGGCCTCTGGAGACAGAGAAAGCCTTGTATGATGTATCATCTAGTCTGAGATTCTGCATAACACGGGGATTTATTTCAATATGTTCTAGTGTTCATTGCAGCATATTTCAGCATATCTGAAAATTCTTTTTGTATTAATAGAACATCTACCAAAATTTCTGTGAAACAATTTTTGATTGTTTGAGTTTTTATCTGTTTCAGGTTAGAAGTTGACCAAACTACCGTCTAACCAATGAATCTATTCTTGTTCCTAAAATGTAGAGGCAATATTTCTTTAGCTAAAGAAACCTCTCCTTAATAGCTTTATCAATGTGTAATTTTGACCATTTCTTTGCCAGGCATGTTTTTCAGTCTTTTCATTATTTTCATGTCTCTTCACTGATGCTTGTTGAGTTTTAATTTAGTTCTTGAATAAAACTATAATTTCTATTTTTTTTTGTTTATTCTATTGCACCAGAGTACATTAAAATACATAGGTAGCTTTTACAGTACTGTGAAAATTAAAATTAATTTCACTCAACATTTTCATAGAATTGCTTATTGACAACACTGAATGTCAGAAAATTGTTAACTAAGCTAGAATAAATCACATAATTGTCCTTTAAAATAATAGATTAAGGGCTTTATTTGCCTTTGGGTTCACATTTCAGCTGTTCCTCTGCAACAATGAAGGCTGGAAACTTTTTTTCATAAAATATGTGCTTGTAGTCATATGCCATCAGGAAATAATGTTTGGGAAAAAAAGAAATGTGCTATTTTCTAAAATAACCAATACTGACAACATTGAATAGCTAATGAACATGAACACAAAGTTTCTTACATATTTTAAGATGATTTTTTTTTTTTCCTCTTAAATCCCCTCCTACTGCTTCTGAAATATAATCTGTTGCTGTGATATAACCATGATGTCAGCAGGGCAGAACTCTGTCCTCTGGTGAACTTAGAGCTATTGCCACAGTTGTGGACAAGTGTGAATTCTCACCCTCTCAAGGTGACATGGGTCTCTCCATGCTGCAGTCCATAAAAAAATTGCATATATAAAATCTGTGCCTCTAATTTCATAAACTAAACAACAATATTAATACAAGAAGTAGCAAGTGTAGGCTCATGATGAATAAATAAGTTTGTTAGAAACGGAAGAGCAAATGAGACTGAAGAAAACCTTTCAATAGGAGGCTTGGGAACAGAAAGCCTGTCACATGGAATTGTATGATGAATTTATAAATAGTGAAGGGATAATAATTGCCAACAGAGGACTGGATTTGGGAGATGATCTAATCTTATGTCCTATTTTCTTGTACAGTCAAAGAGAGGATGCTCTGATTTATCTAGTTTTCTAAAACTTGTGGTCAGAACGTACAAGGTGAAAAACTTCCTGCTTTGTAATTGAGTTTAGTTTCAGTGGGCCCAGAAGTTCTCTTCATAACATCCACCAGTTACTTATTCTACAAAAATTACTAGTATAAATTGATAATTTTCACAGGTCTGTATTAAACAGAGCCTCCCACAAGAAAATCATCACAGCTGTTACTGCCATTAACAGGAAGGCCTCTGCTTCTTTGGCTGAGTTACTCCACATGGCTTGGATCTACTGCCAGGGACAGGGCAGGCAAAAACACCTGCCATAGCTGTAGCTATGACTGCACATAGCCAAGCACAATAGGCAAAATCCTGCAGGAGCACTGCAGGACAGCACTCAGGGTTGTGGCAGAGATGCCTCCTATGCTGTAATTTCAGCGTGGAGCAACCACAGGACTTGGCTACTTTAATCTACCGTGTGTATCACTGTGTTCCAAGACAGCTGTGTCTTTTGTGCCTCACCTAATGCTGTTCAATACACACACCACACTCTTCTGTTATGCTATGAATAGGACATCATGCTCCTCGAGCGAAATCCTGCTGTTCTTCCACAGCCTTCTGGAAGAGCTGGTATTTTTATGAAAGTCAGGCTTTTTAAACCTAAACACTACAGTGCATCCTTTTGTTAAAAAGAAGACTGCAGATCTCTCAGTTTGCTGTGCCAGCCAGTTTTTTCTTGCCAGGCAGAGGGAAGATGTGAAAACTTGTGAAAATTTACCATGCATTCTGCTTTACTATTGGTCTCATTGCACAAGGTATTTGTCTATTACTGCTAGTAGTGCAGCTCTTTAAAGGCTGCACTAGGGAAACTAATAATTTATGGAAAGACAAAAAAATTAACGCTATTATGTCAGCAAGACAAATGTAGTTTTTCTCACACTGGGCAACTCAAAGGTAGATGAGGCTAAGTAAATACTCTAAAGTTGTTAACAAAGTCCTTCCTTTTCTAGATCCTCTTTTTTCTTCTGTGGTGAACTTCTCAAAGGCTGCTGATGAATTTCACAGGAGACTTGAACAAGTGGACAAGAAGGAGTAAGTATGAAAAAAAATTTATATATATGTGTGTGAGTGTATGCATACATGGACATCTGTTTTAGGTACAGAGAGTGGCTGTTCTTTCTTTCAAGTGACAACACGAGGAGTCTCTCTGATTAGTGTACGATAGAGCCCTTGAACTCTGAGACAGGCTAAGATAAATCAGCAGATATAAGAATGCTTCCTGTGATGAATAGTATCAGCTGTAGGGCTTATTACAAGTGTCGGATTGACATCAAAATTGTTGTAATAAATGGAAAGGTGGATAGCAGCAAAAGATAAAGTTGGTCTGAGCTCTGTATTTAGACACCTACACTTCAGTGCTGTAGGTGATGCCAGAATTTGTACTTTCAGCACACTTCAAGAAGAGAGGATGATGCTTTAGATACATATGTTGGATGCTTGCAAACCTAAGGGCCCTACAGGACTCCTGTGCCTTCTGAGAGCAGTGAGTGGAGGCCAGGTGCTCCTAGGCACCTAGTATGGTACCAGTTAGTTGTTTAGGCAGTTAGTAGTTTAGGCAAATGAATCCTATCCTTACTATGTTACTGTATAGATTAGAACAGGAGTATGGACACTTGACTTATGGGTGGGCACCAAAATCTAGGTATCTTCATCTTGACCTAAATCTCAGCCTTTCTCTGCCCTCTGTTAAGTGAGATCTTTCTGGTGCCATTTAACACTAAGCAAGTATCTGACACTCTCAGAAACTTTCCCATTATATTTTGCATAGTGTGAAATCTTGTTGAGTTTTCTAACACAGAAATTTCAATTCATTAAGAAAACATGTATTGAATATCTCCATTTGCAAACCCTCATCTTTTTTTTTTTTTTTAAACTGTAGACCATAGTTGTCTTTTTTATTTCTGTCCAAAAAAGAGGAAAAGTGTTTAAATGAAACTGGGAAGTCATGTTTCCCCACTGTGTGAAACGTCTCTGTCTCCATCTCCCGCAGCCCAGTCGCAGTGCGAATCATGAATGATCAGCTGATGTTGATAGAAAGAGCTTTCACTGATCCTCTGGGCTTGCCAGGAAGGAAGTTTTACAGGTGAGGCAAGAAGTTTCTCAACCTGCTGTCTAAGGCACTGTATTTTTGCAGGTGAACCCCCGCCAGCTGACCAGTCAGTTAAATTTCTGTGTAGGTCTCATATAGGAATTACAGCTCAACACATTGCTTTAGGTTCGATCCATTGAGCAGTGGACTTTGCTTATAACCCCCAAGGAGAATTCCTTGGCTACACCAGCCTTGTGGTGCCAAATTCCTCTCTTGGGCTCTGGCCTTCTGCTTTTATTAGCTGTGTTGAAACCACAACACCGTCATACTCTGTGACTTTTACTTGCAGGTGTGTAGAACTACTGCTGTTACCACTTGCTCATTTGAACCTGCACAAAGTGAGGATTAAGTGGAGAAGAAAAAAAAAAGGAGAAATGAGGGTAGAGTAAAAAGGAGATGAAGGTGAGAACAAATGAGGAGTTAGGGTCAGTTGAAGAGAGAAGCAGAGAGAGCTTGAAGAGGATAGATAAAGGCCCATGAGCTGTGCTGCAGAGTCCCATATGTCCCAGCTTCTTCTATAGCTGCTTCTATAGGTGCTCTGAATAGCTTAAATCATTAACTACTATATCCTTTCTAGAAACTCAGTGCTTTTATTAGTAATAACTGACAAGAAGCCAGCTTCCAGTGTCAGGTGTGTGACTACCTCACTCTGCTATCAGTATGCCCCTTCTCCTAATGACAGGATATATCTGACTCACTGACTGATGCCTTTCATGTCAAGCCAGAAGTCCCTCAAGCAGGTAGAACTGAGAATCACACTTCCATCCTCCTAGGGTGAACTGTCATTCACACTTTGGGAAGAATGAAATTGCGGCTTTCTACAATTCTTGTTGGATGTTAGGTATCATTTAGAGCTGTCTGGATTTTTTTAATTATTTTTTTACTTTTTTGCATTTATTAATGTAGTTTTAATGTTTATTTTTATTTGGGAGGACTCCTTCACATGCTGCAAATGTGCTTTGATATTTTGTATTTAAAATCAAAACGATCTAAGAAAAGATATGCAGCTATCCATTCTTTAGGAAAAAAATCCTGCACCAACAAATAAAATTGATACTTTTTGTGCAGTTCTGATCCAATATGGTCACTTCTGATTTCTTAAGATTCCTAATTCACCCATAGATTTTTTTACCTTCTTTTTACCTTCCTTCCCCAGACCTGCTGACCATCATGCAGCTACTTAGTTATTTTTGAGGTTTCTGTTCCATTTCTTATGATACTCCTATAACTAGTTTTATTCCCTTTTTCAGACTGCCAAATTAGTTCAACAGGTTTGTTAAGTTCCCATTTTCAAAAAGTGTAATGTGGTTTTGTTCCTAATTAGACAAATGCGTCATCTCGTCCCAAGAAGGCTACCTGACCTATATCTGTGCCCTTTCACACAGATGTTGCTCTTGGGGCTGGCTCCTGTCCTTTTAAAGATATGTCCAGCTAGATTTCCTGTGTATTTAGTAAGATCTGATCTTCCTGGGATTCATAGATGTTCTATACAGCACACATACAGTTCCCTGCAACAAACGCATCCCCCCGTCCATCCCCCTCCCCCTGCAATTAATAGTCAGACTTATTAAGTATCCTTATATTTTTCTTCTTTCTCCACAGGCATGTCATCTTTGCTCCAAGCAGTCACAACAAGTATGCTGGAGAGTCCTTCCCAGGGATCTATGATGCCATGTTTGATATTGAAAGCAAAGCTGATCAACATGAAGCCTGGGAAGAAGTGAAGAGGCAGATTTCCATTGCAGCCTTCACTGTGCAGGCAGCAGCAGAAACACTGAAGGAAGTAGCATAGGATGATGGCTTTGAAAACTCACACATCAAAGCCTGACATGCAGAGTAGTCAGGCTACTGCAGAGACCCAGCCTCTTCTGAATGCCTGCCCTATCTGAGTTTCCAACCTTACAAATGCATGCAAGTGTGCTGGCAGGGTGGGCAGGAGCTTTGTGTGTCAAAGAACTCCTGAGAAATTATTGCATCTCTGACACTGACAGAACTGCAGCTTTATGAACTGCCCCTGATGGAAGCAAATTTGGATGTGGGGAGGGTGGGGAGCAGGAACAATCACTTCCCAATTTGAGTTTTCTGGAAGATCTGCCAATTTTGAGAACCTGTTATTTTGGATGTACAATTATGAAACCAGTTATTTGTCAAGCTACCTATAACTTTTGTCCAGAGCAGTGATCAACAGCATACATTCTGAGAGAAAAAAATATAACACTTCTCAGCCTTTGCATTTTTCTTGTTCTGATAATTACTTTTATAATACAAGACATCAAAGGCATTTCTGTGTCTTAGAATCTATTCTGAAGGACTAATGAATGCTCCTTGAACTCTTTTGCTCTCTTTTCCTGAAAAAAATAAAATAGTGGCCCTCCCGCTAATGAAATCCAAAGCATGCACTCAGGGGCATAAATGCCCATCCCTCTGAAAGCCACTATATATCTCTTTCCTTTATTTGCAGTCTGGAAAATCAAGATTTTGGGGTATAACCAAAAGCTGTCATCCCTGCTCTTTTTGGCATTTTAACTGGTCCCAAACCCATGGCAGCTTTTGTTCCTATTTTTTCCCAGGAGAACTTTTTCATGCAGATATCTTTGTCCAGCTGAAGGAGCTGGAAGAAATTGTCAATATTGGCACAGGGTTTGAGATTATTCTGTGCTCAAATAAGACTTGAAGAAAGATTTTACATTCAAAGATACACTGAAATGCATGAGGTCAGTAATTGTACAAAACTGTTTAATTTGTAAAAAAAAAAAAAGATTCTTGCTTCATTTGCCCTTTAAAAGTAATTCTCATCTACATGCTTTACAACTAATACACTTGCTAGACTTTTACTCAATCACATTCCAGTTTGTGGGAGTTGACACTAACCAATTCCTCCTCTAATGTAAAATATACTACAGTTTTTCTCACAACCATAAATTGCACTGGGTTGTGTGAATAAAATCCTCTTTGTTTTATGGAGAATAGAACAGATGTGGTACTAAAAAGGACAGAATTAGAGAAACAGGACAGAGGAGTTATTCTCATCTCAGATGCCTTGAATTCAAACAAGGGTACCAGAAATTACTATACTTCAGTCCTTTGGGAAGTTGTTTTGCGGGATATATGCCATCAAGAAGAGAGGCTTTCATTGGCATCACTTCCAATAAGCCTCTCTAAAAGACAAAGGATTGTGTACTATGGATGTTGTTCTCATAATGTGCTGTTCAACTGCTTTTCACAAATCAAGCCTTAGGCACATGAGGAGGAAATTACACTTCCATGCTTTACCTCTTCTATTTGAGAACAGAGTGCTTAACTGACCTTGTCAGCACACACCTAAGAGAATGAGTAGTCGATGCTCAGAGACAAGGAGATGATTCTTCCCCTCTACTCTGCTCTGGTGAGGCCCCACCTGGAAAACTGCATTCAGCTCTGGGTTCCCAACATAACAGGGATGTGGGCCTGTTGGAGCAAGTCCAGGGGAGGCCACAAAGATGATCAGAGGGTTGAAGCACCTCTCCTGTGAGGAAAGGCTGTGAGAGGTGAGGTTGCTCAGCCTGGGGAAAGGAAGGCTATGGAGAGACTTTATTACACCCTTACAATATATTAAGTGTATATATATATATATATACAGTATACAAAAAGTCTACAAGAAAGCTGGAGAGGGACTGTTTATAGGGGCGTGTAGTGATAGGACAAGGAGGAATGGCTTCAAACTGCAACAGGGCAGAGGAGTAGAAGAGTAGAAGAAATTCTTTACTGTGAGTGTAGTCACTGGAACAGGTTACCCAGAGAAGTTGTGGATGCCCCATCCTTGGAAATGTTCAAAGCCAAGCTGGATTGGGCTTTCAGCAACCTGGTCTAGGTGTCCTTGCTCATGGCAGGGGGGTTGGAACTAGATGATATTTAAGGTCCCTTTCAACCAAAACTATTCTATGAACAGTGACTACATTTTTGTTGTTGTCTTTATTTCTACCTAACTGGGGATACTCACAGTTACTAAGTTCATCTCCACATCTGTAGCTGAAGTTATTGCTAAAGGATGTGATGTCTTGGAAATGGTGACTTGTACATAATTGCACTGGGTTTTTTGTCTCCTTCTTCCAAATCGTGCACTCTTCCTGCTCCATCATAACTTTACCTTAACTGCAATGGGCAATAACAGAATGTGCTTCCAAGAGAGGGTTAGAATATCTAGATAGTTGAAAAAAATTCCCTCTTACTTGTGAGCAGCAGCCAACTTAGGATCTGCCAGTGCTTGCTGCTTAGGATCATCAGAGGATAAGGCAAACAAGGAATTTCCATACAAAAATGAATTATCTGTCAAAGTGTGCCTCCTCCTTCATTTACGGAAATCCCTTTACCAGTATAAACCAGTGAACAAATGTTTCACCAGTAAACATACTCTTTCAGTGGCAGCTAACCTTAGAAGTTCTGTACCGTTACCTTGCTGCTGCAAAAGAATATATAATCTCCTCTTGTTTCCCTGCGCAGTTTGAAGCTGTAAGAATAAATTACAGCTCACAACAGGCTGAATGCACAGCTGGCATCGATCGCTTTGTTCCTCTTGTCAACTTAACTGATAACTCTGTATGAATGTACAATTCATCCCAACCCACTACATCCTGAGAAGTATACAAAATAGCTTAAATCTATTTCCATTCCTGTCTATAAAGTTCTACTGAAAGACAGTATCCCTCATAAATAAGAAAGTAAACCCTCATAAATAAGGAAACCAAAACACTTATAAATGGCTTATACTAATTAATTTCCACAAAATCCCATATTCTCGGTATTAAAAGGACCAGTTTCTCAGAACTGTGATTGCCTTTCCTTCCTCAGTGAGCAGAATCTTGTTCTACAGATGAACAAAAAAGCAACTGCTGATGTTTCTCAGCCTGTCATGCTGTATTCGTGTAGCTTTGCCTGCCCATAATTTCAAAGTGTGGGAAGCGGATTTTTCAGATTCTCCTAATTCCATTTACACAGTTCCTTTACTCAGCTTTGCTGAGTGAAGCAATCAGTCAATCCTACAGTTGAAAGAAACAGACCCTTCAGCCTGCAAAGTGACTGAGGCTGTAAAACAATTTGGCAAAATAAAACTTGGATGAACCAAATATCACTTGGGTATTTGGGTTGTCAATCATCTCTTTAGAAAATCAGTTTCAAAAGGACAGTGCCAGGAGGCTTATTTCAGCTTGGAGACAAACTTTTTAGCAGGACCTGTTGTGATAGTAAAGGAGTTAATGGCTTTAAACTGGAGGAGGGTCAATTTAGATTAGATGTAAATAAGAGTATTTTTATGACACAGGTGGAGAAATACTGGAGAAAGTTGCCCAGACTTCCAGATAGATACCCCATCTCTAGAAAGATTCAGGGTGAGGTTGGACAGGGTTCTGAGGAAGCTGATCTAGCTGAAGATGTCCCTACCCATGGCAGTGGGGTTGGACTAGATGGCCTTTAAATGTCCCTTCCAACCCAAACCTTTCTTTGATCCAATGATTCAGATTCTCTTATGGTTGAAATGCCTTTGGTTTACCTTTGGAAAAAAATCCATAACACTTGGAGCTGGAATCTCCAGGTGACACTGTGTCAAAAGGGGTTGGAAATGGTCTCTGCTGCTGGTAGGAATAGGATACATTCAGCACGACCTGTTCTTTTTTTCTTCTAAAGTCCTCTATTTTCATTCATGGAATTTTAGTGTACAGTTAAGAGTGCTATTAAAAAAGCTGAATGATGATGAATGACACGGCCTTCCCTACATCAGAGCAGAGAAGACAACACTAAATAAATGAAATAGATAATTCTTGTTTCTGCTACACTGTTCTGAGCTAAAGTGCCGTGTTCCTCACTGAGCAACACCTGCTACATAGAAAGCGTCCCTAGAGAAATCAGCAGGAGCTGAATTTAGTAAGCAGTCTTTTTTAAGGTAAAAGATTGTTCCCATTACGCCACTGAGACTAAAAGTAGCTTGTGCCAGTTAGAGTCTGTGAAGTCAAGGAAGTTCCTATCATTGTCAACACAGTGTCTCTCCTGATGGATCCTACACCTTTAAACATCTTCTTCAGCTTGGGAAGCTCAAAGAATCAAGGATGAGGAGGAAGAGAAGGAGTGCATTGTTAGGCACCTCTTGCAGGAGGGGCTAACCTGGTTCAAATAAACTGCAAACATGTTACAACCTTCTATTAAGGGAAAGAACAGGAGAGGCAATAATAGAAAAACATTTCACAAGAGGGTATCGGATAAGAATAGACTTGCTATGTTTACATGGGACCTTCCCCAGATGTGCTTTGCTAGCTTGCTGAGAGTGCAGCTGACATATTCCTGATGCTGCCATCCACATTACTTCCAAACTTGGTTGTATTTTTAGAAGGAAACCCAAGTCACAGTTGCTGGACACAGTGACTGTTGTGACAACACACTCTTATGTAACCCGTAAGAAGCAGGACTGCAGGGAGGAAACGTTGCCAGCTGTGAACACTGAGCACTGGAGGATTTAGCTCTGAGATCGCTCATCCCTTCAGATATTCCTGGAAACAACACCCTTCCCCCAGCCCTGCCTACTAATGCACTGCCTTTGTTTCCTCAGCGCTCTGTCTCCCAAGCCATGTTTCCACACTCTTTCCACCTGAGCCTGCATGCCCAGGCACCTGCACTAAAGCCGCATTCAGCCTGCAACACCTACCAAATTATCCTGGCACTTCCTGTTGCAGGAGTGTGGGCACTGACAGCAATGACAGCGTCACCCACTGCCACGGCAGAGGAGTCAAACACAAGCATCCTGCAGGTCATCTTATGGGCAGAACGAAACACACGGAGTAAGTAAAGCCAGATCCATTGTTAGTATGCTTGAAATCTTAACTGTGATCAAAGAATGACTAGTCTCTATTACTAATGAAAGAACAAAGAATACTACAAACTTTCAGCAACAAAGCTGTTAGAATGTTTATGGGCTGTTTTTCTTCTTGGGATCTCCCATATCCTGGTGCCCTTTCTCTAATCATCTCATGTCTGTGGTCCTCTACACCACATCCCATGCCTGCTTTCAAGGCCCCTGCTTGTATCAGACTGGTATTCATCTGCTACATGGTGCTAAAATCATATATATGTTGCTCTACACAGAAAACCTGCTGTTATCTACAGTACTATATACACCATGCAACTGGTATATAGAAACAAGGTAAAACAAGTCAGGCAATAGCCACTTGGTCATGAGTAAATTTTTTTAACAGCCAAACAAGCCAGAAC